GATTACTCGCCAAAAATTCAAATTGTCTAATCCCCAGATCTCATGGTGCACGTTAAATAATCATCTCTTAAAAAATAAAATAATAAATGTTTCTATTCAGCTAACATCAGGTAACATATCAAATAACAGAAATATATAAAGCTATCAACAGCTATTGAAAGACCTTGTTGTCTTATCCTACGTCAAGATATCATAGTAACCTTTCCTGCTCCGCAAAGGATCCAGAGACCGAATTTAAAGAATTTGAGCGGCGCGGCTTAAATTTAAGCCGCCGCTCAAATATGGTTGGTTTCACTTAAAATTGTATTCAATGTTTCAACTATTAATATAAAAACTTTGACTATTCCAGCAGAATTTAATAAGAGGTCTGCAACATCTGGTTGCAAACATCCTAAAAGTTTTGAGCAAGTAATAAGTTCCTTTATTTGACCTATCATTAAGAAAATAAGTATGCAAAATAGTTTAGTCCAAAATTAGAACTGATTACTCCAACCTTATACACTCTTTGTTTTATAAAGGGTGTTATTAAAAAAAATACAAATATGAATTTAAATTTTGTTGCTGACCCTCCTTCTATTTTTGTTTTAATCTGCAATTGATTTTTGTGTGTGTTGTATCCAAGAAATAAAGCAGGTGGAAATTTGACGCTTATTTTTGGTGTCATTATAGATTTCACACATAATTTTGGGTTATTCAGTTTTAGTCTGTTTATTAGAAGCAGTCAGACCAACACACAATTGTGAACACATTTATTTTTTGCCAAAAAGTATCAAAAATAAAATATTTTGAAGAACGCGTAAAAATGCTAAACGTGCACATTAAATACATATTGTTGTGCCTTATATTCGATGCTTGTTTTCGTTTTTAAACTAATGATAAATAAAATGCGTTTAATGTTTATCCACATGTTTAATCTATGAAATTGTTCTCCGAGAGGGTAGGACGGAGAGGGTCCGGATATTACGGAGTAAAGACGGAGAATCTTTAGTTTCTCTCCTTTACTCCGCGTAGATCAACCTTACCCCTTGGAGGAGAAACATGTAACAGAGAATCATGTTTAGGGTTCTGTTTATAAATTATGCCCATGTGTTAAGTGTTCAGTGTTCAGATGTGTTTAGCCTTCAATGATGCTCAATTTCTGTGTTTATGTTTTCAATTACGCTCCGTGTTCAGTTTTTAGTTTTTCAATCCTACTCAGAATTTGCTGTTAAGTTTTTCAACGATGCATGTTGTTCGGTGTTCAGTTTTGATAGTGCAATTACTGTTCAGTGTTCAGTTTTTCAATGGTGCTTATTGTTCAGTGTTCAGTTTTTCAATGATGCTCCGTTTTCAGTGTTCAGTTTTTGAACGATACTCAATGCTTTATGTTCAGTTGTTTTGTTGTTCGTTGTTCAATCTTTTTAATAATGCTAATTGTTCGGTGTTCAGTTTTTCAATGATGCTTATTGTTCAGCGTTCAGTTTTCAATGATGCTGATTGTTCAGTGTTCAGTTTTCAATGATGCTTATTGTTCAGTGTTCAGTTTTTCAATAATGCTAATTGTTCGGTGTTCAGTTTTTCAATGATGCTTATTGTTCAGTGTTCCGTTTTCAATGCTGCTGATTGTTCAGTGTTCAGTTTTCAATGATGCTTATTGTTCAGTGTTCAGTTTTTTGAAAAAAGAGTGTACAGTGATCAATGTATAATGAAGCTATTTACTTTTTTTCGATGTAACAGTCTTCAAAAATTATCATTGTTTACTTTTAGTATTTATTAACTTATGGTCATTTTAAACCAAAGCCTTTGTTTATTTTCAGGTTCAGGTCAGTTACAATTTTGTTCTTACAAGGATGTACGACATTCATTGTTGAATTTTGAATTTTGTTCGGTGTTCAGCTCTTAACATTGATCTTGTTAATACTCTTTGTTTTTCAATAATGTTTAATGATGTTAGGTTTTGAGCTTTTATTTAACATTGAAATAAATTGTTTATTTCTCTCAAAACATGGCTCCGAATTTATTTGACCAGAAAAAAATTTCGCATTAATATATTTTTTTGGGGGGAGAAAAAGGTGAGGTTTAGATCTTTTTATTTGTAATTTTTTGCTTATTTATTAGAATGTTGTGCCCAGTTTTCTAATTTCATAGTTTAAAAACTTTCTAAATTTAGTATTTTCTAAATTTCCACATTTAAAAAATCTGTTTCAAAAGTAAAAGTTGTTTTAGATCTCTCAAAATGTTGTTCAAGGTTACATTACTTTGATTGATTGACCGTGAAAAATGTGCAGATTTCCAGTTTTCATGAAAGTATTTTAGTATCTAAAAATAAAACGGACTTAAGCAGGCAAAGGAGGCGAGAGAGGGGGAGCTGACCCATATTCTATAAGTGAAGTTTATCAGCACAAGATACCCATCCTAATGATACTCCCATTTAATCTGACACTACTACCATTCAATCTATTACTACTCCTAGTAAAACAGAAAATACTCCCATCTAAGATAATACTCACATATAAGAAAATAATACTCCCATCTAAGATAATACTTACATATAAGAAAATAATACTCCCATCTAAGATAATACTTACAAATAAGAAAATAATACTCCCATCTAAGATAATACTTACATATAAGAAAATAATACTCCCATCTAAGATAATACTTACACATAAGAAAATAATACTCCCATCTAAGATAATACTTACAAATAAGAAAATAATACTCCCAACTAAGCTGATAATACTCACATATAAGAAAATAATACTCCCATCTAAGATAATACTTACAAATAAGAAAATAATACTCCCATCCAAGCTGATAATACTCACACATAAGAAAATAATACTCCCATATAAGATAATACTCACATATAAGAAAATAATACTCCCATCTAAGCTGATAATACTCACACATAAGAAAATAATACTCCCATCTAAGATAATACTCACACATAAGAAAATAATACTCCCATCCAAGCGGATAATACTCACATATAAGAAAATAATACTCCCATCTAAGATAATACTCACATATAAGAAAATAATACTCCCATCCAAGCTGATAATATATACTTCCCTCTACGCTAATAATACTCCCATCCAAGTTGATAATACTCACATATAAGAAAATAATACTCCCATCTCAGCTGATAATATATACTTCCCTCTACGCTAATAATACTCCCATTCAAACTGATAATAGTACACCTAAAAAGATATATCTGAGTAAAACATTATACATCATACAAGAGTGTGTTGAATTCTATCTTATTCAAAGATAATTACAGAGTGTTTTCACTGAGAAATATCCATCTGGATTTTGTTGTCTAAATATTCGCAGCTAATGTTCTGTGCTATCTCAGGATTTGATATTAAAAGGTGTTTTACCTTTGATGGATTGAGGTATCAAACCTTAATTAATATTCAAATTTAATCACTTTATAAAATCAGGGAAGCGTAAGGCAAATTCGACGGATTTTAGAAAATATTCAGACCTTCAGATATTTTGCTACATTTATTCGTAAAATCTAAAAAAACTCTTTATATCATGTTGGTGGGACATCGCGTAATTTTAGTGAAGTACACCCTTTATGTTATGTGAGACACCCTGTATGCTTAGTGGGACACCGTGTATTTTTAGTGAAGGACACCCTGTATGTTATGTGGGACAGCTTGTATGTTTAGTGGGACACCGTGTATTTTTAGTGCAGAAAACCCTGTATGTTTAGAGGGGCACCCTGTATGTTTAGTGGGACACAGTGTATTTTTAGTGCAGGACACCCTGTATGCTTAGTGGGACACCATGTATGTTTGGTGGGACACCCTTTATAATGAGTGGGAGAACCTGCATGTTTAGGACACCCTTTATGCTTAGTGCAGGACACGGCTTGCATGTTTTGTGCAGGACACCCTGTATGTTTAGTGGGACTCTCTGTATGTTGAGTGGGACAACCTGTATGTTTAGTGCAGGACACCCTGTATGTTTAGTGCAAAACACCCTGTATTTTTAGTGCAAGACACCCTGTATGTTTAGTGCAGGACACCCTGTATGTTTAGTTGGACTCTCTGTATGTTGAGTGGGACAACCTGTATGTTTAGTGCAGGACACCCTGTATGTTTAGTGGGACACCCTGTATGTTGAGTGGGACAACCTGTATGTTTAGTGCAGTTAGTGGGACACCCTTTATGCTTAGTGCAGGACACGGCCTGTATGTTTTGTTGGACCAATTCTGTGTTTGACCGATCATTTTCAGATTTGAATATGGCAGAAACCCTGGAGGTTCCAGGTTGGAGCTTCCTCTCCGAGGAAGAATGTCTAAACTTTATAAGGAATACAAACAATAATACAATATGTCTTATCTTGATGTTTCTATATTTGTTTATTGGTTTCAATTTTTGTATACAATAAACGTCGAAACGGAAAACCCGATCGGATCCAAATCTAGGAACAGTTGGAATTGTCCAACCAAAAACTTTTTAAAAATCTCCAGTTTTGAAAATGTTGCCGTGGTGCAATAGAACAGGAAAATCTCAGAAAGATACCTGACATATAAAGCTTGTACTAACATCATTAACAAAAAGCTAAGAATGTAACTAAAATGAAAGGAAAGAAAAAGAAAGGGAAAAGAAAATGACAGGTAGAATAGAAAAAAAGACTGGAAAGGAAGGAATTACCAAAAAAATGGAGAAGAAAGTAAATCTTGTAAATAATTTTGCTTTCAGTTGATTTTTAAACATTTTAAAGTTACCTTTTATTGAATTCTAATAAATAAAGTTTAAACTTTTTCTTACTTAAACCTGAGTTGGATTTACTTTGAATTCAGTTGATACAAGACTTACTCACAACTCACACGGCACTTTTTTTTTGGGGGGGGGAAGGTGTGTGATACAAACGTTGCCCCTCTCCCCCCCCCCCCCTTAGCTAATATTTTGGTCAATACGATAAGGAAAGTGCACTATTGTAAGAATTATATAAACTAAATGGCTCTAAAACTCTAGATTCAATTAAATTTCAGATTAGCTCTCATAAATGTTATCCAGAAAAAAGAGATTTCATGGACGACCTAAAACTTTTTGAATGTGCCGAATCAAACATGAAACTTTTGATTCAATAAGAAGATTAAAAAAACGTTGTTCAGCTGTCGCGACTCTATTTCTCATTCTTTGGGGGAAACTATACAAATAAAACCTATTTATATACTTGGGTCTCTGTTTGTTTGTTTGTTTGTTTCTATCCAATTAACGTCATAATGGTTACTACGATCGAGCACATATTTTGTGTGGGACCTCACGTGACCCAGGGGGAAGGTTTATGAACGATCAAAATTTAAAAAAATTGTGTTTAAAAGTTTTTATTAAGTAAAATTTTGAAAATGCGTGAAAAAATATTATGAAATCCGCAAACTTGTTTTTGTTTTAGTGTTGTACTGTCCAAAGAGAAGGTGCTCACAAATAATTTGTTAAGTTGTGAGATAACAGAGAATAATAAAGTTTGTTGTATAGTAAAATTTATTTCAAAGTAAAATTTATTTGAGTTAAAGAATTTTTAACGTTATAGACAGCATAGTCTTTAATTTCGAATACAATATATTGAAGAAGACATTTTTACCATTTATCAACTGTCATGTTTTGCGAAAAACCTTGTATCTTATATTCTAAGTGGAGGTCACTGATAAGCTGGAAAAATCCACAAAATATCTTTATTTTTCCTAAACTGTGCCGTTTAGAACTTTATTTGGTAAATAACCGGTTTTATTGGTTGTATTGTTGAACAGAGGAAACGGAAGTATTCTCGGATATCAAGTTCTAGGAAATAATACCAACATGAGAACCACACAAGTAAATAAATACAAATTATTTTCTATTTTTTCTGCAAATTTGCAACAAATTGTCAACATCAAGGGAACTTAAAGAGAGTGTTCGCAAAAAAATGATCTCAGAACGTAAATATTTCAAGTAGATTTAAAATCAATCATTCTGATATACAACTTTAAAATGTCGAATTCAATTCGATGCATTCGTATAAAGTTGAGACTTTATAATACTTTTTTTTTACTATATACAATGTACTTTAAACATCGATTTTTTGGCCGCCAGGTGTCTCCCCCAAATGAAATTGCTGAAACATCGATAGCAGAGAAACCTAGCGGCCAAATTATCTCACATACAAAAAAAATCAAAAACTGGATTTGAAAGTCCAGTTGACTATAATTATATCTTGGTGTGGTATGGGACCCGGAGTAATGGTTCTATTTTTTAAGCAATTTCTTTACTTATTATATGAAGTAAATGTTCTTGTCCTTACTAGGATGTTCATCTGTTGATTTGTTGACTTTAAGCACATCATTTATCCAACATTTTCAACAATTGATAAGAATTTTGCCAATTACTTTCCTAGAAATAAAAGGTCTAGGTCCAAGAATATAATTGGTATTTCTTTTAGAATATAATTGGGATTTCTTTTAGAATATAATTGGGATTTCTTTTAGAATATAATTGGGATTTCTTTTAGAATATTACTGGGATTTATTTTATCTTTGTATTCCAATTATTTATTCCTAAAAGATAGAAACAAATAAACTGGAGTTTTCCGGGTGCATTTCTAGACTAAACTTACACCTTGTTTTATCTTAATGAAAACTATTCTATCTGAACCCTAACAAGTTCACTATAGACAAACGCCAAGTCTGTACTTTAAGGGTTAAAACTAAACCTTTTCATTCAGTTTCTTTTCCTTTCACCTTTTCCTGCTTCCGTTGGAAGTTAGTTAGAAGGTTTTTGCACTTCATAGAACTTATTTTAATCAAATCATGAAAAAGTGTAAGGGCCTTCCACCAATTAATTCTATAACAAAAGAAACCATGACATCTTTGTATACAAATACAAAAGATTTTACGATCATCAACTGCTGAAGACTCGAGCCTTAAAGAGAGAAAACCCCAAGATGGTTGGTTTTTACTAAACTGAAGTCCATCCAAAACCCGGGTCATGACTTGAGCTTTACTTGGGTCTAAGCAGACGCAAAGACCGGGTTTTACTCTTATAAAATCTTATCCCTTGCAAAATGACTCAGAAAAGAAAGTAACTTGTCACTTGCCTCAAATTCTAATTTTCTAATCCTTAAAGTTTTGCAACTTTTCAAACTTTTCATTGCTATTTGATCAGAATTCAAAGTTATAAAAGTAATCTATATAATTAAAGTTGTAATCTCTGTTTGTTTGTCCGATCATAACTTAGGAACCCCTGAATTGTTTTGCCTCAAATTTTGATCGGGATGCTCGGGAGACCCACGGGAATGTTCTTAGCTTGATTTTAAGATTTTAAGTTGAGTGGGTCGACTTTATTGCAAAAATTGTGTTTCCAGGTTAAATCGTTCAAGTGTTGGTAAACGGGTTCCCAATCTAATCCGATATAAGATCGATATACTCCATTTAAAGACCGTTACATGTCCGATTAGCAACGGGACCACTTTACTATATTGACAAAATTATGGTGATATTCCTGTTTTTCTATCGGAAAATTTATAAGATTTTATTATGTTTCTTTGCACTAAATTTTTGAGGATTTTGGCAATCGGAGTGGGCCAAAAAAAAAAAAATATTTTTACCCACTTAAAAGTTTAAAGGGTCCCGACTAAAAAGCCTCTTTGAATATATATATATATATATTTATATATTAAATGTTAAAATTCTAAGACATTTCGGTTTGGTTGAAGAAGTTTTGATTTAAGTTCTGGTGAAATTAAATAAGTTCTGTTGAACTCTTATTGATATATTTCCTCTTCAAATACATCCAGGGTTATTCAATAAACATGAGATCTACTCGTACCAGCCAGTATTGAACCCAGAGTCTAGTCGACCCAACGCGTTTTATGCAACACATGATATAGGCTAGCTAAATCCATTTGCAAGATTGACCAACATTAAAACTCAAGAAATATACCAGGAACTCTCATGTCTTTCTTTACAAATAATGTGTACGCAGGTTCTGGGAGAAATGTAAACAAAGTTCAGCCTCATCAGTAACTTAGTTTGTTTACATTCCTCCCGGAAACTTCAATATATACTTTTATTGTAAACAAAGCTATTGAGATTCTGTAGTCCAAAAGTTTAAAGTATGCAGCGTTCTTCCTCCTAATCAACCCTCGAATGAGAAAAAATCAAAGATTTGTAGTTAATTTTTCATTTTTTTTTTAGTTTGGTGAGGATGAAGGTTGCTCCGGATACTGGGATGAGCTGGTGTGTTGGCCCCATGCTCCACCCAACTCTAAACTCATCCAACCCTGCCCCATGCATCTCCAGGGGGTTATAAAGACAAGTAGGTTCAGTTACACTCCAGGGAATCCAGGCTTCTTTTATCACAGATATTTATCTTTGTTTTCTAAAAATACTTTTTCAAATGATTTTACAGTGAAAAAGATAAAACTGTGGAATGAGAAGACGATATTTAAGCAGTCGCATGTGTATTTCATAGTGTGTTAAAGCAAATAGTTTTCCTTGAAGGGACTATTCGCGAAAAATTAAAGGGGGTGTAGGCTTAAGGCGAAAAATAAGCGCTTTTGATCGCTACTTATCTTACTTCTATCGGATTTTTTAGAGGTTAAGTTTCGATGAAAAAAAAAATTTCACCTTTTTAATTTTAATGTTTTCTTTAGAAAATAAAGCGCATTACTATTATTTCTTTATTTACAGGGCTCAGAAGGTTAATCCGTATTTGTTAAGTAAAGAATAGTTTTTCACAGTAAAAAATATATTAATATATATATAAAACTCTTCCAAGGGTGTAACACTGATAAGATAAAATAAGATAAGATAAGATAAGATAAGATAAGATAAGATAAGATAAGATAAGATAAGATAAGATAAGATAAGATAAGATAAGATAAGATAAGATAAGATTAGGTAAGATAAGATAAGATAAGATAAGATAAGATAAGATAAGATTTGATAAGCTGAGATAAGACAATTTAGTTATCCCGGACTTTTTGTCTAAAATTTCAATTATACCGATATTTTCTTCTAAAATTTGAGTTATTCTGGCCGGTTTTTTTCAAGCTTGTTTTGGTTTTACAAAATTATCTTATCTGTCTCGTGTTATCTTCGTATCTTATATTCCAAAATCTAAAGCAACCCTTTCCATTTTTCCCCTGTTTATTTTTCTAAACATAGAGAATTTACGAAATGTTGTAAGATTTAAAGAATTTTAAATTATGTTTAACATAATGGGAACCTAAAGAAGAGGAAATTTAATCTAAAATGTCAGAAACATTCATTACATCTGAAACTTTATTGGACTTTTTAACCGTTATTTTCTTTTCTTTATGTAATATTTTCAGCTGATTTTATTTACTTTATGCCATATTTTCACTTTTTTGCGGATTTACTTTTCTTTATGTAATATTTACCGAAGATCTTTTTTCTTTTTTGTCGAATTTTCAGCAGATTTTATTTTCTGGGTGTGACATTTTCCACTGATTTTATTTTCTCCATGTAATATTTTCAGTTGATATTAACTTTATTTTTCCTGCTAAAGAATGAAATTAACTTATTTTAAAGTGATATCTTAACTTATTTTTAAAGTGATATCTTAAAGTGATATCTTAACTTATTTTAAAAGTGATATCTTAAAGTGATATCTTAACTTATTTTTAAAGTGATATCTTACCTTATTTTTAAAGTGATATCTTATCTTATTTTTAAAGTGATATCTTAAAGTGATATCTTAACTTATTTTTAAAGTGATATCTTTGACCGTAGTTAAGCAAACCAATGGGAAGGTTAAACCTACACTGCCCTAATTTAAAGGGACTATACACGTTACACGAGACATCTTTCACTCACAGAGTGTCGTCTTCAATTTACTATTTATGCTGCAGAGTCAATTATGGAAAATATGATCATTTAACACTTCTTATGATAAACGACGATATATTTCTGATTGTTGAAAGAGATTGAAATGGTACAGTACTAAATCAGACATGCGATGTAGCGTCGCTCTTATTAGTCTTGTCAATGTCAGTTCATTTATAAGAAACCAATCTCGAGAGATAAAAATCTACAGGCTTGGTTTAAAATTCAACTTTTTTCCAACAACATTTTAAAATAATAAGAGAAAGCATAGAATTAAAACGGAAAAGTGATCTTTTAATTAAGCTAAAAGTAGGAAACATGGATGACTTAACTTTCTATCTTTGAAGTGTCATTTAAGACAAGCTGGGTGTCTGGGACCTAGATCATAGAACACAGGGATCTAGTTTGATAACGTTGATACAGATTACAACGAAAAAAATATGTCGTAATTTTTTTCTCGCCATAAAATTAGATAGTGGAATATTTTTCTTCATTACCTGGTGGGGTCACCTGAGGTCCTAACCTTTGGGAAATTCCACATTTGGGAAGTTGCCACTTGAGAAATTGTCACTTGGGGAGTCACCCTTGGGAAAATGTCTAACACCAAGAGGATATCTATTTTATAAAATCTCTTTTATAATCTCTGTAAAGATTACCCAAATAGTCGAATAGTGTTTACAGTATACGGATACTGGAAAAAGCCATAATTAGATTTAATAATATTTCATCTTACTCAAAATTTTTAAAACTTTACCAAAAACAAAGTATTGCTTTGCAGGTTTTGGGGAATGGTTAACGGTTAAAGGTTTTGTAAAGGTGTAACCGAGAGAGAATGAGAATAGGACCGATAAATGAAATATCCTAATATCTGCTATCTAATGTGTAGCCTGGAGAGAATGAGGATAGAATGAATAGAATATCTTAATATCTGCTATCTAAGGTTTAGCTGGGAGAGAATGAGGATAGAATGAATAGAATATACTAATATCTCCTATATAATGTGAACCCTGGAGAGAATGAGAATAGAATGAATAGAATATCCTTATATCTGCTAGCTAAGGTGTAGCCTGGAGAGAATGAGAATAGAATGAATAGAATATACTAATATCTCCTTTTTAAGGTTTAGCCTGGAGAGAATGAGAATAGAATGAATAGAATATACTAATATCTCCTATCTAAGGTGTAGCCTGGAGAGAATGAGAATAGAATGAATAGAATATACTAATATCTGCTATCTAAGGTGTAGCCTGGAGAGAATGAGGATAGAATGAATAGAATATACTAATATCTCCTATCTAAGGTGTAACCTGGAGAGAATGAGAATAGAATGAATAGAATATACTAATATCTCCTATCTAAGGTGTAGCCTGGAGAGAATGAGGATAGAATGAATAGAATATACTAATGTCTCCTTTTTAAGGTTTAGCCTGGAGAGAATGTGGTGAGGACGGATGGATGGACAGGGAAGGATCTAGTACTATGTTTAGTAACCAGAGCTTTACTCACTTCAAGGATTGCTTTCCGAGGTATTATATCTCACCGCAACAGGGGTTATGCATATAAGAAGGGGAGTGGGAGAAGGATTAACAAAAAGTTGTTATCATTATCAAGTTAGAATCATTTGTTTTCATTAAAATGGTAATACTAAAATAAAGAAACATAGTTTTTGCCTCAAACTAAAATTTGTTAATTTCTATATCTTTGCAATCTGATAGTGCAAACCTTTAATATATTTGATCTAAAATAATTTATAGTTTGAGGTATTCGACAATTGGTTGCAAACATATTGTGAATATAAATACAGACCGTGTTTACAAGGCTTTGTTCCGGCCTTTGGAGGAATTATTGGATTGTATAAAAGGCCAAATTTTGGGCCATTTTCTACAACGTTCTGTCTGGTCCATTCGGAAATTTCAACCTAATCTAACCTTTAATGGGGGGGGGGCCGGGGGGGAGGTCCAGAACTCTAGAATTGTTTCGATCAGAACTGAAACTCTGTGAACTTTTTAATATGTCAAAAGACATTAAAGAATTTGAACAGCTGAAACAGTTTTAACTGTGCAAGTCCATCCTTCTGATAATATAGAAAAACATGATTTATTCCTTGAACATCTTTTCTTATTCTGACATTTTGATACATTAGAGCCTAGAGGCTCTAATATTTTTTATTTAATTCTTTCTTTATATAAGTAATCTGTGGCGGCTATGAAAGTCGTCTTTTAATTAGAGAATCTCTCGCGGCAGCTAGAAGGAAAAGAGGAGTTTCAAGGCCACGAAGATATAAACATGTGATCGTTTAAATATGGCATTTTTCTTACCTTGTATATTTAAAGTAAAATATAGTTAATTGTTTTGAAATCTTCGTCGTTGTTAGCCGACCGCCAAATTGGTGACCCCGGACTATTTGAATACGTTTTCTAAGTCCTAAGTGAAGCAACCCACCGCGTTGCATTATTCTTTATATAAACATAATAATATAAACATAAAAACTCAGTGTTTTGAGTTAGTTTTTTCGCTAGTGTTATTTTTGGCTGAAAAGTGAACCTGCCTCCCTGTTTTTTCCACAGGCTATCACAGTAAGCAAAAACCTAGTTCGACAGTGTTTGGTTCTTTTCAGCCATGCCTGGAGATCCAACCTTGGCCGCAGGCACCGTAAACCAGGCGGATTCAACCCCGTCCAGTCATCTCTACGCAGTCACTCTGAAGTTGCCCGTTTTCTGGCCTGACAGCTGTGAGTCCTGGTTTATCAATGCTGAGTCTCAGTTCCACCTCAAAAACATCACCAGCAACACCACCAAGTTCCATCATGTGGTTGCATCTCTACCACAGAAGGAAATAGATAATGTAGTGGATATAATAAGGAACCCGCCTGCTGCAGATCCTTATGGTGTATTGAGGTCTCGTCTTTTACAGACACACTCTCTCACGGACTACGCACCTTGTGAATCCATCATGTCACTTCCTTTGTCTGGAGATATGCTACCCTCAGCTCTGTTGTCCAGGATGAGGGCTCTCCTTCCTATAGAACATCAAGAGTGCTTGTTCCTGCGGTATGCTTTCTTGAGACAACTTCCATCTGATGTCAGGTCTCACTTAGTCCATGATAAAACCGCCGATATCGCCGTTCTCTCTCAACTTGCTGACAAGATTTACCGGAGTAGTTTGTCTTCTAGTTCGTCGGTGAACGCCCTGGATTCTATGCATGCTGTTAATGCTCCTCCTTCTAGGCAGAACCGCCGTAATCAGCGTTCTCAGAGAGCCTCTAGTCCAGTTACCCGCCGTTCTCAAACTCCTGCAGCTCCGTCCCGCCGTTCATCTTCACCATCCTTTTGCTGGTACCATGCCAAGTTCGGTTCCAAGGCCCTCAATTGTCAAGCTCCATGTGCCTGGTCGGGAAACTAGAGCACCGGCAGGAGGATGCTTTTTCCCTGCCTGCCGGTTCAACTGGTTCTGCTCTCATCTATCTCCTTGATGGTCTCTCCAACCGTCGTTTTCTAGTTGATACTGGGGCTTCAATCTCGGTTTTCCCATCTCCAACCTCATCTTCAACCTCTGGTGTTCGGTTACTCACGGCTGATGGGTCAACTTTAACCTGCTCTGGTTCCAGGATTATCCCTCTACGGTTTGGAACGTGGAATTGTTCCTGGACTTTCCAACTGGCTCCAGTTTCTGTTCCAATCCTTGGAGCAGATTTTCTTCAACATCATGATTTAAGCGTGAACGTGAGGAGCAAAAAGGTATTCTCCAACAGTTCTTCTATTGGTTCTAGAATTGATTTATCCTTTTCTCCGGTTGATTCAACCGCGCCGATGCAAGCAGCTTTTCTCTCCACTCCCCAGTGCGTGTCAGACCTTCTTGAAGAGTTTCCTGATGTCCTACAATCCGATGGTTTCACTGCTTCTCCGCCACGTCATAAGGTTCGTCATCACATTCTCACTAACCCTGGACTGCCGATTTTCGCTTAAGCCCGCAGATTGGACCCTGCTAAACTTGCTTTAGCTAAAGCAGAATTCTCCGCCATGGAAAATTCTGGGATTGTCCACCGTTCTACCTCTCCTTGGGCTTCTCCACTACACATGGTCAAGAAGAAGGATGGAGGTTGGAGACCTTGCGGCAATTACCGCCGTCTAAACACCGCCACTGTGCCTGACCGTTACCCTCTTCCCAACATCGCCGATTTTTCCTCACGAGTTAGTGGTTCAACTGTTTTCTCCAAGTTAGATCTTCAGAAGGGGTATTATCAGGTACCTGTCGAGCAGAGGGACATCCAGAAGACTGCCATCATCACCCCCTTCGGGATGTTTGAGTTCCTGAGGATGCCTTTTGGATTACGTAACGCTGGAAACACATTTCAACGCCTGATGGATCAAATCTTTGGGGATCTCCCGTTCTGTTTTGTCTATGTTGACGATATTCTGGTCTTTAGCAAAGATTTATCTTCTCGTGTTTAGCACCTCCGGGACGTTCTACTCCTCTGTCGAGAGCATGGTCTTACTATTGGTCTGCCTAAGTGTCAGTTTGCTGTGAAGGAGATTGAGTTCTTGGGACACCGCCTCACTTCCTCTGGATGTTCTCCCTTGGTGAAACACTCCGCCGCCATCTCCGCCTTTCCGCAGCCATCAGACAAACCCAGCATCCAGAGGTTTCTCGGGATGGTTAACTTTTACAGGAAGTTTCTCCGCTCTGCAGCTCAGGTGCTTGCTCCTCTCACCGATGCTCTGAAAGGTCCTGGAAAAACTATTTCTTGGACTCCACTCATGAACTCCGCTTTTAACAGAGCCAAACAACTCCTTTCAGCCGTTCCAGAGCTGGTTCACCCTCAGAGCAACGCAGCAATCTCTTTGTCCGTAGATGCCTCAGATTCCCACATTGGAGCTGTCCTTCAACAACAGCTACGTGACAAATCTTGGTCTCCGCTGGCTTTCTTCTCTAAGAAACTTTCTGACGCTGAGAAGAAATACTCCGCCTTTGACAGAGAACTCCTGGCAGCATTTTCATCTGTTCGTCACTTCAGATTCATGCTAGAAGGTAGAGAATTTACAATATTCACTGACCACAAACCATTAACTCATGCTTTGTTCAGGATGAGTCCTCCCTGGTCAGCTCGCCAGCAGAGACACCTTGCATACCTGGCAGAGTTCACTAGTTCCATTGTACATGTTCCTGGCAAGGAGAATGTGGTAGCTGACGCCCTTTCCCGTCCAGTTTCTCCTGTGTCTTCTCCAAGTTTTACCCCTGGTTCACCTTCAGTTTCTCCAGGTCCAATTAAACCTTGCTCCGCCCCGAAACCTGATCCCAAACCATTCCAACTCTCCTCCAAGTCTATCCAAACTCACGCCCTTCCAGTTCCTGGTTCGGAGGTTTCGGAGGTGTTGGAGGTGTCGGAGGTGTCGGAGGTGTTGGAGGTGTCAGAGGTGTCGGAGGTGTCGGAGACTGAGGTTTCAGATTTTTCTCCTTGTTCCATCTCTACATCCGCCTTGGTCCCAGCTCCAGGCGGAGATAATTCATGTAATCAAGCTTTATATGATTTGGATGCTTCAAGCTTGTCCAAGTTTCAAACTATTTGTTCATCTGTGCAAGAAATGAAAGTAAATCCATCTCTTACAGTGATTTCTCATTCCGTGGGAGCTAGTGACATTTTTTGTGATATTTCAACTGGTTCCCTTCGTCCCCTGGTCCCTCTTCAACTTCGACGCAAGCTATTTATACAACTACACAGTATTTCTCATCATGGTGTCAGAGCTTCCAAGAGATTGATCTCATCAAGATTTGTTTGGCCAGGGATGTCCAGAGATGTTGGTTTGTGGGCTAAATCATGTATTTCATGCCAAAGATCCAAAATTTCAACTCATGTTCATTCTACAGTTTCCACCATTCCAGTACCAACCCGGAGATTTTCCCACGTTCATGTGGATCTTGTTGGTCCTCTTTCATCAAGCCATGGTTTTACGTATCTTTTCACCATGATGGACAGAACTACGAGATGGCCGGAGGCCGTTCCTTTGTCCTCCATCTCAGCTGAATCTTGTGCTCGTGCTTTAATCTCTACCTGGATTTCAAGATTTGGAGTTCCTGCAGTTCTCACGTCTGACAGAGGTTCTCAATTCACGTCTTCTATCTGGACTGTAGTTTGTTCTATGTTAGGAATTTCAACCTCCACTACTACCGCTTTTCATCCTCAAAGTAATGGAATGGTTGAAAGATTTCACAGGAGTCTTAAGTCTTCTCTACGAGCCAGGTTAGCAGGTTCTGATTGGTTTTCTCACCTACCTCTAGTTCTCTTGGGCTTGAGAGCAACTCCGAAGGATGATACTGGCCTCTCAGTTTCCGAGGCTGTGTACGGTTCCCCTCTGACCTTACCTGGTGAACTTGTAGACGTCCCTGAGCTCCTCCCTGATACCTTCCTCAGGAAAGTTGACAGAGCCATTGAAGGATTCGCCGTTTCTCCGCCTCATCATGTTCGTCCTGTTCCACCTGTTCAACTGCCTGCAGCTCTTGTCTCAGCTAAATACGTTTTTGTTCGTGAAGATGCAGTTATATCATCCTTGGCTCCACGTTATCGAGACAAGTACTTCCGCCTCCAGATCGGTTCTAAGCAAGATGCAGTTTCAGTAGATCGCCTGAAGCCTGTTTTCAGTGATACTCCGGTGACTCCCGCGGTTCCTCCGCCTCGAGGAATACCCAGACTTAATCCAGTAACCAATTCTTCAGTTCCTTCGCCGTCCTCCGCCACCAGATTACCCAAGAAGGTCAGGTTCAAGCTGATTCCCCAGGTTCTTCTGCCATCTGTACCTATTCGACGAAACCCTCACAGGTCTTCAAGAGATAGAAGAATCTGCTCCGCCGTACCTCCGCCGTTCCTTCTGGGGGGACTACTGTGGCAGCTATGAAAGTCGTCTTTTAATTAGAGAATCTCTCGCGGCAGCTAGAAGGAAAAGAGGAGTTTCAAGGCCACGAAGATATAAACATGTGATCGTTTAAATATGGCATTTTTCTTACCTTGTATATTTAAAGTAAAATATAGTTAATTGTTTTGAAATCCTCGTCGTTATTAGCCGACTGCCAAAAATCTAGCTTAATAAATAACTTACGCTAGACTGTATTGGAATAAACGTCAAAATTTAATCCTTCAGTAAAAAAATACATTTAAAAAACGTGTGATAAGTTTAAGATATATAAAACGTATATCTTCACAAAAAAGCATAAAATCGTAATGGTAAACAAAGTAATGTAAAGTAAGGGTGCTAATTTAAACAAGACCTCTAACGCTTGAATATAATTTGAACTTAGATCTTCACCCGTTTAAACTTTGCGTCCTGAGTCAAAAACTAAAGAACGAAAAGTTTCAACTTAAATTTTAAGTTTCAGCTTAATTGCCACTTCTGACTTAATTTAAACACGAATTTTAACCCGGGGGTTAAATATTAAAATCCCGCATTTTCCCAATTTGTCTATCAATCAATTATCATTCAACTGAGAAAGCGGCATTTAACTTTACGATAAAAAGTGAAAACCTTGATTGAATAAATTTCACGTTTTAGATTATTAATGTTTGCACGTAAACTTAAAACACGGTTGTAACTGAAAATATGTTTTGTTTTCGGTTATCTAAATTATTTAAAATTTAAAAAACAGCTGATGAGCGATGGTTACGTAATATCTCTCCGTAAATCCTTTTCTCTGATTGGTTCAGATTTTTCCCAGGAAATTCAAATTTCCCTTCAGGGTTTATTTGAAAAAGTTCAAATTTAAGTAGCAACTCATTATTAAACAGACCTTTTAAGTTATAACTTAAATTTCGCGCATTGTTTAGTTTTATCGCCACATTAAAATAGACGCGCCACAAGGAATACAATGTGTTACGATGATGGTACGATGTGGTATTAAAGTAATAACACTAAATAGGACACCATAAGTCTAATATAGATACATTAAATAAAATTCATCTTGGACATCTCATTTCAGGGTTCATAGGCCAGGAGTTAGTTACGGATTATTGAAAACTTTAAAGTAAATAATTAACTTTCTACCTGAGAAAAAAATGTTGTAGTTTCACTAAATTTAAATCTTTTAATTAACACATTCTTCAAATTTTCAGCTCCGAACACCACAATTCAACATCTATATTTAGGGTAAAAGGGAAAATTCGACATCTCAAAGATGGAAAACTGAAAAAAACTGAAAAAATGCTGAAAATTACAAACATCGATATTTTTTTGTAGTGTATACGTTTTTTAAATTTAGTCTTGAAAAATATTTATCTAAAACTGTAAACAGGTACTTAACATTTTTCTGACACATTCATCTGTAAACTCATTTAACACTTGTTAATTTTCGGCCGCAATTCAATTTGACGGGATCATCTATTTATTTATCTATCTATCTTTTCATCCAAACATATTATAATATTAATTAATTTTTTTCTTCTTATCTTTCTATCCTAATGGTGTCAATAGAAACCTTTAAACTAATTTTTATGAAATTTCAAACTGTATTATAATAATCTATCATTGAAAAGAGTTTCGAAAATGCAGGATCAAATTATGCAGATATTAGTTTTTATATTGAAATTTTTGAATGCGTTTATGTAAAACTTTTCTTTATTTATTGTCGATGGGAGGAGGGATATCAAAGCCCAAAGTTAACGGCCAATAATTTCAAGAGACATCAAAAATAAAAATTGATTAATTTTCAAAGTAATTTTTACCCTCAGAATAATTTCACTTTTGAATAAAATGTTGCAGAATTTGGTTTGAAAATGTTTGGACGAGACAAGACAAACATATAAATGTTCACAAATTGTAAATAAAACAAAACAAAAATAATTTTTATTTATTATTTTAGTCGAATGTTTGTGGATGCGAGCAAGTTCCTGAATGACTCAGGTAAACCACAGAATTAAATAATTTGATTTTAATAAATTTAGTATGTGTCATGCACATTCTGTGCAACTTCATGTAATAAAATAATGATTATTTATAGTTTGGCTTCAACACAACTTTCAAAAATGTAGAGTTTTGATTGAAAACTGAGGAATTTTTAAGTATTAGATTTTTCTAAGATTATCAATCTATTCTAGATTTATTCATGGTTCATCCAACACACTTGTATGCCGATTCCATTAGCTCCTGATCCAATTAGGTTCAGTCATGTGTTTGGTGTCTATTCTGAACCAGTAGAAATTGTGTGGCGGTAACATCTTTCTATCTATCTCATTATCCAATTAGAGTTATGAATCCTTTAATCGGCGCTAACAGTAAATGGAAATATTTACTTCTACTGAAACTATAGTGCCAAGAGCCCCGTTTCTACTGACTGAACACATCTTTAAAGTTATTCCAAAATATATTGTTGTTTTCGTATTTGTGTAATCTTTTTTACATAAAATCGATAATTTTGTATGGTAGGTTGAGTCTCATTAAAATATGCTGGAAAATTGAGTTTTTAAATATAAAATCCAAATATTAAACTAATAATCAATCCTGAACAGAAAATACTGTCAATATGGAATTCTCTATTTATAAGCATGTCAACACTCCGAGTCAAGTACAGCACATGTTTCTTTACAAACTTTCGATTATTACTCGGGAATTAGAAATTGATAAGTTACTACAGAGTTACCCACTACATATAAGACTTTAATAACGAACGATCTGAAGGTTGAATTTGGTCTGCTGTATTAAAAAAAGGTCTAAACTTAGAGTTTCATAAAAAATGTTAAAAAGACAAAATCCATGCAGCCGTGTCAGAGTATTATATTTGGGGTCACCCTGTATGTATCAAAATAAAACCTGAAAATACAGAGTTACATGATCAATACTTTGATTTACATTTATTGCAGGGGACATTAGTTTCATTTATTAAACCATATTGCAGGGGACATTAGTTTCATTTATTAAACCATATTGCAGGGGACATTAGTTTCATTTATTAAACTATATTGCAGGGGACATTAGTTTCATTTATCAAAGTATATTGCAGGGGACATTAGTTTCATTTATTAAACTATATTGCAGGGGACATTAGTTCTAAATCTTCAAAGTTATCTTTGTTAAGAGTTTATATTGTAATTGTCTTTGAAAATACATACAATAATAGTTTTTTTTCTCCTGAGTAAATGATGTCAAAGCCTCAGTTTTGAACCGATTTTTGATTTTTGGTCATCATAATTGAAATTGGAAATTGATAAAAATAATTTAGGATAAAAAGTGCAGAGTAAAGAGGCAGGGTTCTGAATATAGGATAAAAAGTGCAGAGTAAAGAGGCAGGGTTCTGAATTTAGGATAAAAAGTGCAGAGTAAAGAGGCATGGTTCTGAATTTAGGATAAAAAGTGAAGAGTAAAGAGGCAGGATTCTGAATATAGGATAAAAAGTGCAGAGTAAAGAGGCAGGGTTCTGAATATAGGATAAAAAGTGCAAAGTAAAGAGGCAGGGTTGTGAATATAGGACAAAAAGTGCAGAGTAAAGAGGCAGGATTCTGAATATAGGATAAAAAGTGCAAAGTAAAGAGGCAGGATTCTGAATATAGGATAAAAAGTGCAGAGTAAAGAGGCAGGATTCTGAATATAGGATAAAAAATGCAGAGTAAAGAAGCAGGGTTGTGAATATATGGTGAAAAATGCATAATAGAGGGGGGATATCAAGGTAAAGAGTAGAAATCAAGTTTAAAGAGTGGAAATCAGGTTTAAAGAGTAGAAATCAAGTTTAAGAGTAGAAATCAAGTTTAAAGAGTAGAAATCAAGTTTAAGAGTAGAAATCAAGTTTAAAGAGTAGAAATCAAGTTAAAGAGTAGAAATCAAGTTTAAAGAGTAGAAATCAAGTTTAAAGAGTAGAAAGAAAAGAAGGGACTCGAGTAAGGTTCAAAATTTAGAGAGAAAAGATTAGAAATGGTGAAAGGAACTGGCCTGCTAAAAGGGGATAGGTGAATATTCCGTATTAAGAATTTAAAAAATTGGATCCATCTGATATCAGTAATATGTAATACTACACTGTTAGAAAAACATTTCTTCCAAATCTGGTAAAATGCTGTCGAAGAACAAATAGGTTCCATGAAAACCACTAAAAAAACCTCCCATTACTTATATTTATTGTCACATTTCTTATAATTAACTTGACCAGAAAATGTTACTGTCACAGGAAATATATTAATTAAAACAAGAAAAAACTTCTGTTCCAGAAGAAGTTTTTCTAACAGTATAGCTGGGGAACACAGCGTTTTCCCGTGCGTGGTCTGAAATGCTATAAGTTCTCCCGAGTTCCCCAATCAAAATTTGTGCCTAATCGGTCATGGGGTTCCTGAGTTATGATCGGATATCAAGACAGGCAAACAAAGAAACATATATTACTACTTTTACATATATAAGTGTAATATTAGATAATGTTAGATATAACTGCAAGGTGAGTTCGAACGAGATCTTTACTCGAATTATTTTCCGGACGGATCCTCCTAGATTTCTATACTTTATCGGAGAGAATTATTTTTTATTAAGTTACAAAACTAAAAAGCAAAACTTATTGAAAAACAATTAAAATAATTTCGTGACAAGTTCAAAAATTCATTTAATTCAAATTTAAGCCTTTCACACTGTGAAATGCTCAACAACAACAAAATTAGTTGTTCTCTGTACTGTAATGTTCAAATCCCTATGTCTTTGCAACCTGATAGTGTAAACCTTTAATATTTTAAATTTAGACTATTTGAACTAAGGTCTACGACATTGTGTTGCAAAAATTTAGCGATTAGAATATCAGAGTTTGTGGCAAAAACTCAGTTCCTTTAGCCGATTCAATCTATAAAGTTTTTCAAGACTTATCTATTTTCTGAAATTATCTAATTAACTTTTCTGAAAGAAAGTCGAACTAAGATGCAATATGTGGAGGAAAATGTTTCATTTTGGTTCTAAATAAGAAACTGATTTTTCTGATTGGTTGCTGCAGAGCTTTTTTGCGGAGAATTCTCTGCAGAAAATAAAGAAACATATATTTTAGTTTCATTTTAAGATATTTTTGTATCCATCTTCCATCTATATATATAAAGTAGTAATGTCTGTTTTTTTGTAACATCAGAGCTCATGAACCCCCTGTTGTTGTTGTTGAACTCGGTAGAACTGGGGGATTGTTGAACTCGGTAGAACTGCGGGAATGTTGAACTCGGTAGAACTGCGGGAATGTTGAACTCGGTAGAACTGCGGGAATGTTGAACTCGGTAGAACTGCGGGAATGTTCTTATCTTAAGTCAAATATTCAAAGTTGAGTAGGTTGACTTTTAAAGGTAAAGTATAGTTTCAAGGCAAAGCTGGGTTTCCAATCTACTGTTGTATTTTTATTTTTATTTTTCGCTTCTTTAAATACACATGTGTATACAAATTACTCAATTGATCAGTTTCCTCTGTACAATTTCACTACAGTTTTCTTTGTACAGTTTTCACTGTACAGTTTTCTCTGTACAGTTTTCTCTGTACAGTTTTCTTTGTACAGTTTTCTCTGTACAGTTTTCTCTGTGCAGTTTTCTTTGCACAGTTTTCACTGTACAGTTTTCTTTATGCAGTTTTCTCGGTGTAATTTCTTTGTAAATTTGTCTCAGTACATTTTGTTTACAATTTCTTTGTATAGTTTTCTAAGAAAAGTTTTTTTCTATACAGATTTCTATTTGCATTTTTTTTGTACAGTTTTCTGGACCATGATGAATAGGAAACAGAGACGGGTTGATTACATTGTTTTATAGAAGACCTGGAGTAATTCTTTTCCTCCTTGGAACTTAGAATCAGGATTACACATTACTAGCTGATTGTATATTCATTATTTATCAGGGTATTGTTTGTTATGTTGTATTGAGGCTAATTGTGATTTGTAAAACACTGGAAAAAGCAAAAAAGGTTCCGTGGATTACATATTTTTCAGTTATAGAAAAGTATCAAGATAACTAAGCATTTTTAGATTTTTTGTTTTGAAAATTTGTCTTCATATTGTTTGAGGATCATTGTTTGATCCCGGTATAAAATTTATCCCTGCTGGATATAACCACCATTGGGTATAGAATTTATTGAATCCGTAGGTCTGCATTAGATGGAGACATCCCAAGATTTACAGTACTTCTGAGGTCACAGTCTAGTATGCCGAGTTCATTAACGCCTGATCCAATCAGGGTTCAGCAATGTGTTTGTTGTCTATTCTGAACCAATAGAAATTGCATGGCGGTAACATCTATCTTTCTATATCTATCTCATTATCCAATATAAGAGATAAATCCTTATATCGACGCTATAACAGTGAATGGAAATATTTACTTCTACTGAAACTTTAGTGGTCCTGTCAATCATAATCAGGGAATTTTGCGTTGAACCATTAAGAGATCAGAAAAATTGCGGATATCCAAAATCAAGGAATCGAGTAGGTTCTCCGTAAAATTCAAAAGATCAATCAATCGGGATTATGGGCATTTAACACAAAAGTTCCAAAGTTAAGATTATTTTGTTTTGTAGATTGTAACCGTGAATGGAAGGACTGGGTACAGCATACAGCTACAGCATATGTTTTGTAGATTGGAACCGTGAATGGAAGGACTGGGTACTGGATGCTACAGCATATGTTTAGGAGATGGGATGGGAGGGGGCTAGGAGTGGGGAGGTAGACTAATAGAGGGATGGAAAGTTATGAGGGTGGATCAGGAGATAGGAGAGGGAGGATGGATTTGGGGATAGGAGGGAAGGGGTTTCAGGTGATGAAAGTGGGTGAGGGGCTAGTAGGGCGGTTGAAAGACTAGGAGAGGGCGGTTTGGTTAGGGGCTATGAAAGGGGTTGAAGGCTGGAAGAGGGTACGAGAGGTGAGAGGCTACAAGGGGTTACAAGGATAGTAAGATGAATGTGAAGAAGATGAGACTTAATTAAATTGATATTGAGAAGAAACAAGACGGATTTGAAGATTGGAAAGGATTATTATATTTTCTTTATATTCTGAACAAACTTTGGATATTAGTAACTTTATCAATCCCTCAATTCGGAGACTATATGAATGAAGACTGTCAAAATAACTAAAATATTTTGAATTTATTATAATAATTAAATGAACCTTTAATCAAGACATAATTTAAAAGAATCAAACTGAATCAAGTTCTGATTTGTACTCCAAAGGAATTGAATTTTTGCCACAAACCTTGTTTACACTATCATGTTCAAAAATATAGTTATTAGAGCATTTCAGTTTGTGGTAGAAACGCAATTCATTTTTTATGTTTACTTAAGGCATTGACATTTACAGTATTTTTCTGTCTAACAATAGATTATAGAAGGTTTTAATGAAGTTTACTCTAGGCCCCTGAAAACACAGAAGAAAAGATTGATCATAGAAGGTTTTAGTAAAGTTTACTCTAGGTCCCTGAGAACACAGGAGAAGAGATAGATTAGAGAAGGTTTTGTTGAAAGTTTACTCTAGGTCCCTGAGAACACAGGAGAATAGATAGATTAGATAAGGTTTTGATGAAAGTTTACTCTAGGTCCCTGAGAACACAGGAGAAACGAATACATTTCCATCTTTACCTAGGAATGTTTCTCCAGGTAACATTAATTAAATTAATTTAAGTGGTTTATCGGATTCACAATGGTTTTCTTCAAATCTATATCTTGGTAACAATGAGAAAGATTTAGTCTTTTCCTATCTTGAAAATTTTAACAATTTTCATCGATATCTCTAATGCTTAATTCCACAAGATACTTATACTATTGAGAAACCAATATTAAAAATAATCAAGTTGTAGATTGATAAACATTAGTATCTCTATATAGTGATAGCATTGTTTCTCAGCGTAACTGTAAAGTTAATTCTAAAGTGAAGTCTTGTGTTTCAAGTTCATAAATATAATACATAACTCAGTAACTAGAACATTTTGTTTCCATTTCATTCTATTTGTCAATAGTGCACTTCCAAGTTGTAAAGTCTAGAGTTTCAAATCCTTCATTGAAAAGCAGAACAACAGAGCAAAATATAAAAAATTTAATTTTTTTCCCAGTATGTTGAAAAAAAATTTAAATTTCTATACTGATTTTAGTGATGTTCCTTTTTAAAATATTTATGTTTAAAGGTTTAAACAAACATTAAAATCATCCAAACGTCAATTTATTGGTCATTCACAATCCAGGGTTTTTTAACACAAGTTTGGACTACAAAAAGACATTTGATTTATAGGATTTCTTTTAAATGGATTTTTCCCAAAATTGAGGTGTTTTAACTTGGATCATGATGGTTCATTAACAGGAGCGTAAAATAATAAAACCTTTACGTAAATATTTAAATATTATAATATACATTGTACAGCTTAGCTATTGGAAAATATTATCTTTTGGCGTTCTTACTTTACTTTCCCTGCTACGCTTTGAAAATTTATCCTAATTAAACGAATGTATGTGTAGGCTTGGTAATATCCAGCCTTGAAATACTATCTTATAACACTCTTGTCGGCCCACATTTCATTGAAACACGGGGAAATCAATTCCAGTTTATGCATTTTTCAAGTATTCAAATCCTTGAATGTATGGGGTAAAATGCACAATGAGTATGCTAAAATTCACTAGTCAAATTATATAAGCAACCTGATGGTGTAAATCTTTGAAATTTCTAGATATAAATATATATACATATATAATTAGATATAAAATTCTGGGATTTAGAATTGACTCTTCTGGTTCTCAGACTCTATTGAAATACCGAGGGTTATAACATTGCTGCTTCATATGGATGTAAAGGCTATTGTTGTAAACCACGGTCTCATCACTATTTATTTATTTTTCTTGAGTTTTAGAGATTTTAATATTCGTCTAATTATTATAAATAGTGTTTAAAGTAAGGCTTGAGGTTGTGAAGGGAAGAACAAGAAAAGTATGCTTCCTGGAAAAAGCATCAGTTTAGAAGGAAACTGCAATTTTCAAGAAAGGTTTTACTGGGTTGGAACATGTTCCATTTTTCTTTCTTTCTCTTTGCTCTGAACATTGAACTTGGGATTTTAATAATTAAATCTTTTGCATATATCTCCTTTAAGAATGTAAAGATATTTTAATTGAAGAGACATTTAACGTTATTTTAACTGACAACCCAATTCCCAATAGTACCCTAAACTTTTGTTTTAAAATCTTCCGAGACGATCTGTATACTGTATCCTTGTGGACGCAGATTTTGAGTTAAAACGAAATTATAAACTCAATGTTCTTTGAGTCCCCTGTATATACAAGATTATGTTCTTTGAGTCCCCTGTATATACAAGATTATGTTCTTTGAGCCCCCTGAATATACAAGATTATGTTCTTTGAGTCCCCTGTATATACAAGATCATGTTCTTTGAGTCCCCTGTATATACAAGATTATAGTTCTTTGAGTCCCCTGTATATACAAGATTATGTTCTTTGAGCCCCCTGTATATAAAAGAATATGTTCTTTGAGCCCCCTGTATATACAAGAATATGTTCTTTGAGTCCCCTGTATATACAAGATTATGTTCTTTGAGCCCCCTGTATTTACAAGATTATGTTCTTTGAGTCCCCTGTATATACAAGATCATGTTCTTTGAGTCCCCTGTATATACAAGATTATAGTTCTTTGAGTCCCCTGTGTAAACAAGATTATGTTCTTTGAGCCCCCTGTATATAAAAGAATATGTTCTTTGAGCCCCCTGCATATACAAGATTATGTTCTTTGAGCCCCCTGTATATACAAGATTATGTTCTTTGAGTCCTCTGTATATACAAGATTATGTTCTTTGAGCCCCCTGAATATACAAGATTATGTTCTTTGAGTCCCCCGTATATACAAGAATCTGTTATTAAGCACTAGACATTCTAAATATTTATCTATTAAATATTTTACTAAAAAGATTTCATTCAAAACAATTTTAAATAAGAGTAAAAAAAAAATTTTAACGAATAATATTATGTGTTTTTCAGATCTTTATTGATGTCACGAATATCCTATTATACTTCTATCTTAAACCCTCTAATTTCCTTTAATTTTCTATCCTTTCATCCTTTTATTCCTCTATCCTTCTATCCTTCTATCCTTTCATCATATTATCCTTCTATTCTTCTATCCTTCTATCTTTCTATACTTATATCCAATTCTATCCTTCTATCCTTTCATCCTTTCATCCTTCTATCCACCTATCCTTTCATCTTTTTATTCTTCTATCCTTCTATCCTTCTATCCTTTCATCATTTTATCCTTCTATCCTTCTATCCTTCTGTCTTTCTATACTTATATCCTTTTATCCTTCTATCCTTCTATCCTTCTATCCTTTCATAATTTTATCCTTCTATTCTTTCATAATTTTATCCTTCTATCCTTCTATCCTTCTATCCTTTTATCATTTTATCCTTCTATCCTTCTATTCTTTTCTTCTTTTATAAGTTTATCCTTCTATCCTTCTATCCTTTTATTCTTTTATAATTTTATCCTTCTATCCTTTTATTCTTTTATAATTTTATCCTTCTATCCTTCTATCCATTTATACTTCTATCCTGTTATCCTTCTATCTTTCTATCCTTCTATCCTTTTATTTTTCTATCCTTCTATCTTTGTATACTTATATCCTTCTATCCTTCTATCCTTCTGTCCTTCTATACTTATATCCATCTATCCTTCTAGCCTCTTATTCTTTTATAATTTTATCCTTCTATCCATTTATACTTTTATCCTGTTATCCTTTTATCTTTCTATTCTTCTATCCTTTTATCCTTCTATTCTTCTATCCTGATATACTTCTACCCTTCTATCCTTCTATCCTTCTATTCCAATTATTACTCCTGTGTTTAGGTATCTATCAGACTAATCCTGTACTTGGAGCAGAGATCCAACATGAACTCAACCCTGCAGGATCGGATCCATGGAGCACTCTCCGGCTGGAGGGGATTCTCAGAAACGGTAAACGTCCAGGGAACAAGGATGGAAATGCATAATGAATTTGAAGTTTTATAGTTTCTAGGTTATGATAATCAACAGACTGTAGAGTGATTATTCTTCACATATATTTTCCCTTCTGAACTTTTTATCATTGAGTAATTTTAAGAAATGAATAGCCTAAACCCATTAATAAAGCAGAAATTGAAGATAGCAATATAAGAGGCCTGAACTAAACAATCACATTTTTTTACATTTCCCCCATGACAAACAAAGTGTTCAGATTTTAAGCAAGTTTATCACAAAAACAGCAATATTTCCAGTATATTTTTGGATATAAGTAATGTTTTTCCTTCTCTCAAGTGCAGTATTACGAATACTGTAGTCTATGAATGCCAAGTGGTTTAATCAAAATAATTCTACAATTATCTGCAAATTCTGAGTTTTGGTTTAGAAATGGTTTGTTTTAATTTCATGATAGAGAAGTTCAACTTTTTGATGTGTTAATTCTTGTGATTGATAAAGTTTTATTGGTTTGCAACATCTGTCAATTTTTGCATAAATGTCCTGATGCATGTTTAAAGAATAAAGTTGGATGAAGAAAATCTATTTTGCAAAAAGCACTTTTTTAAAATTATATTTTAGTATGAATCCGATTCTAATGATTTTTCAAAACGGTTTTAATTGGATTTTGATATTATTCAAATTGCAGAAAGTTCTCAAAATATACAACTTAGAAATGTTCCTTCGAACCTTGAAACACAAGAAAAGGGAAAATGGGTTTTAAATCGTTTTCTTTCCAAGGATATCTCAAATCAAAACATTATTATTCAAATCTTTAAAAGGGAAAAACCTGGGGCGATGAAAATTCACTAGTTCGAGAGAGATCAGTAAACAAATTTACTTATTAAGGAAGTACTATGTGAACTGATTATCCTATATTAAGGAAGTACTATGTGAACTGATTATCCTATATTAAGGAAGTACTATGTGAACTGATGATTATACTGCTGGAGTATGCTAAAACTGTAATGTTCCACTGGATGTTTATTGAGGTAAATAAAAAGAATTTAAAACAGATTTATGTATATTTTTATATTTTTATAATTTTTAGACAGTTGTGAGTTGTGACCATTGACCAACCAACATTTAAATGGTTTTCTTTTTTCGTTCCTTTCCATATTAAATTCCCTGTAGGATTTTGTTAATTTTTTCTAGTGATTTTTTTAAACCCCAGATTTCCCGAATATATATACCAGTTAAAAATTTTACATTCAAAATCCTGATCGATATTTCATTGTGAATCAGGAGCAAAGACGACAATAATTTCATATTTATATTGTCTCCGTCTGTCTAATAGTAACATAGTATGAGTTTGATAAAGCCTAAGTATCTAGCTGATATTGATTGGTTAGTTGATCCAAATGTGAATGGGTGTCAGGAGAATATTGAAAGGATTGGCACAAAAATATAATTCTTTTGCCAAATTAAATTTCATCAATTTACTTACCGATGATATAAGTTGATGGTAAGTTGGTTAAACTGAAATCGAACAATAATGGTTATCTACAACTACTTTACATGGAATTTTACTTTACCAAGGGTTCCCAAGACCAACATTGGTCGAGGGAACACGTGGATAAGTAGTATTTCTAATGAAATCTTTACTAAATTCGTATCGGTCCGACCCTATCGTCGTGCTGTACTAGGATTGATTCCAACCCATTCTTGGCTATATTTCAATATCATTAAAAAGCTATTACTTAGTATCTGCCTGGCTTGTCCTTTATGATTGGGATTTAAATCAATCTAGTTTGCAGTGCCCAGGGGTTGTAAACTGGCAGCACTTTTATCCTACCATGCTTTAGTTGACAATAAGCTAGTTGCATGAGAATATTAGAGTACAGAAGATTTCCAGGAATGAAGTACAAGTGCCTTATAGAGTAGACGTGATAACATCTTCCTAACTGCATATTTCCTTTTCATATTGACAGCACGGCCCCAAGTACTTGTAGTTGGGAGCCATTTTTTAAACATTTTTATTTGAATTTATATATTAACATAGATGGCAACCATAAACAGGGGTGTTTCAGGAATTTGTCCAGAGGGGGTCTTACCTTTTCTTTCTGTCCAGGGGGATCATCACCCATTGGAGCCTAAAACTCCCTAGAAACCATAGATTTCACTGATTCAAGGGGTGGGGAATATCCATTCCCTTTACACTTTTGACCAGCATACTTCCTACTTCCCTCTCATCGTCATCATTTGGTTGGTTCCATTCAATCTAAACACCTTATTAATTGAGCCTGAGCATAAACCCAGTCGATGTGAAGGTTAATGAAATCCTCTCTTGATCTTACATTCGTTAGATTATTTTGACTTTTCGACCAGGCTTTTTTAGAAGCATACGCTTGCGGCATTTTGGACACCAATCCAGTTTCTAGCTGGAGAACAGTTAGCTTAATGTCAGTGTTCCATCGACACACTAGCTATCCAACTCAACATCCAGCAGTTCAACAGCTGTAAAGATATACGGATAGATAGATATTAAAATATAACAAAGTGTCCAAATTTCTCCAATTATACTCACAGTGCACAAAGTTAAACTTTCTATTCATATTTATTGCTGTCACACAAATTCATGTTTTGACAAAATAAGTTTCAAAATATCAATTTGGGTTCCATTTTCCTGAACAGAAAGCTATTTTTTACACTGCATTTAGCAAATAAAACGACCTATGAGGATCTTTTTTTGAAAGAGAAGGTCTTCAGTAAAGGAAATCATACAATCACATGATATTAAACAAGGCTGTGAAAGAAAATCTTGTTATAAAGTTGAAAAGTAACTAGTTAGGTTAAACAACAAAATACGGAAAAATGAAAGTAGGAATTTCCACCAATTATATCATATAAACTTGATTGTTGTGGATGGACCTACAGTGAGAACCAGAAAACTGTGGAAAATTAAAACGACATTAAAGTAATAGTACAAAGCAAATAGTTTCACCAGTAGATTAAAAATCAACTTATTTAGTGAAATGGGTCTGTTAACACTGCACAGTTGCAGGGTCTCATTTCCATATGGACTATTTATAGTTGAGTCTTAAAGTCGTGTTCCTATTCCATAGTTTCTTATTTTTTTTCTATTTCATTCCTGCATTTACATAGAACTTACTTGATCTTCTTTATAGTCAAGTCAGAAATGTTTTGTTCTAAATCTCTGTATCAAGAATTGAACAGCTCCGTCATCTACAGATTGATTTAATTCCTTATCGATATCACCAGAGTGGTTGAACACATCAGGGATAACTGAAATGAAGGAATCAAGCATTGATCCGCAAATTTAAAAATGCCCATATTGGATTTCGAAATCTAGCGTTCAAATTAAAGTTTCCTTCTCAGATGTGGGTGTAGATATACTATGTATAATTCATATTTTTAGGAAGAATTGGATTCTGCTTATTTATGGTGTTTGATGACATTCTTTTTGTTGATTTTTGAACGCACAGTGCAGTGTGAAAATTAGACTCATGTTATTTTTTTATTAGTTCCGCAAATTCCTCTGAGGACATTTTTCTCCGCGTGTTCTTGGAATCTTATTGAAGAGTGCAGTCATGATGTGTGAAATATTTTGCTTTGTGATTTTTCATCGAACCTGAGACATCTTCTCATACTTCTATAATCTAACAAACTACTTCCATTAGTTTACAAAGGGAATATTTTTTACGTAATACTAATAATGAGATGATGAAAAAAAAAGTAACTTCGATTATGGTATACTTATCATATCATGATTATTTAGAGATTAGTAACATCAAATTTGAGGGAGGGAGGGAAGGAGATCCACAGTAAATTTAAGTCCGAGCCACATTTTCTCCTCCGAAAGCCACCCCTGCATATAGATGTATTTATTATAAATGTTCATGTTTGAGAGTATATATTACAGGGAGAGAGCACTATATTCATCCTGTCACCTCAATATTGGCAAACATCTTCAACAATATATTCACATAGGATTATTAGGAATTATAAGAAAGGAACTTTCATCCTTCTATCCTTCTATCCTTTCATCATTTTATCCTTCTATCCTTCTATCCTTCTATCCTTCTATCCACCTATCCTTCTATCCTTCTATCCTTCTATCCTTCTATCCTTCTATCCTTCTATCCTAATAAGGGTTTATTTAAGTTCTAAACACTCGAAAACAAGCTTGTATCTGTGTTTTCTTACCATGCTACATTTGTTGCGTAAAACGTACTGGGTCGACTTTAAATTGGGTAGTCCAGACGGGAGAGTACAACTGAATGCATTTACAGTACATGATGTACCGGCTCGGATCATGCATCTTCTAGATTGGGGTGGTATAGTAGAGAATAAGCAAAGCATCCTGGATGCACTACTATGTACTGGAAATGTCGTCTCTAAAGCGATGGTGACATAAATTCTGTATTGTCACGACACTGACTAGTCTTAAAAATAATAAATGTAGGTACAAATGGTCATAATTCGAAAATAAAAACTTGCAACTTCATAATATCCTTGTATTTAAGGGTATCAATCTATACAATATCTTTGTATTTTAGGGTATCCATGTATACAATATCCTTGTATTTCAGGGTATCCATCTATACAATATCCTTGTGTTTCAGGGTATTCATCTATACAATATCCTTGTATTTCAGGATATTCATCTATACAATATCCTTGTATTTCAGGTTATTCATCTCATAATATCCTTGTATTTCAGGGTATCCATCTACATAATACCCTTGTATTTAAGGGTATTCATCTATACAATATCCTTGTATTTCAGGGTATCCATCTATACAATATCTTTGTATTTCAAGGTATCTATCTACATAATATCCTTGTATATCAGGATATCCATCTACATAATACCCTTGTATTTCAGGCTATCCATCTATACAATATGTTTGTATTTCAGGGTATCCATCTACATAATATCCTAGTTGTGAATGTGTTCCTGACTAACTCTGACAGGTAGAACTTTTTGTATTGTTTCAATGAATTGTTAAAATCTTTAGACAAAAAATATTTCTTAATCAAAAATATTAGCTTTATCGTATTCTAGAATCCTAACTATCTATCTATTGGTTGGATATTAAATATATTGTCTCCTAGAAACCAAACTGTCTTTCCCCTAGTTGGATATTAACTATATTGTATCCTAGAAACCAAACTATCTATCTATTGGTTGCATATTAACTGTATTATATCCTAGAAACCAAACTATCTATCTCCTTGTTGCATATTAACTGTATTGTATCCTAGAAACCAAAATATCTATCTATTGGTTGGATATTAACTGTATTATATTCTAGAAACCAAACTATCTATCTCCTGGTTGCATATTAACTATATTGTATCCTAGAAACCAAACTGTCTATCTATTGGTTGCATATTAACTTTATTATATTCTAGAAACCAAACCAACTATCTCCTGGTTGCATATTAACTGTATTGTATCCTAGAAACCAGACTATCTATCTATTGGTTGCATATTAACTGTATTGTATCCTAGAAACCAAACTATCTATCTCCTGGTTGCATATTAACTGTATTGTATCCTAGAAACCAGACTATCTATCTATTGGTTGCATATTAACTTTATTATATTCTAGAAACCAAACTAACTATCTCCTGGTTGCATATTAACTGTTTTGTATCCTAGAAACCAAACTATCTATCTCCTGGTTGCATATTAACTGTATCGTAATCTAGAAACCAAACTATCTATCTCCTGGTTGCATATTAACTTTATTATATTCTAGAAACCAAACTAACTATCTCCTGGTTGCATATTAACTGTATTGTTTCCTAGAAACCAAACTATCTATCTATTGGTTGGATATTAACCATATTGTATTCTAGAAACCAAACTAACTATCTCCTGGTTGCATATTAACTGTATTATATCCTAGAAACCAAACTGTCTATCTATTGGTTGGATATTAACCATATTGTATTCTAGAAACCAAACTATCTATCTCCTGGTTGCATATTAACTGTATTGTATCCTAGAAACCAAACTATCTATCTCCTGGTTGCATATTAACTGTATTGTATCCTAGAAACCAAACCATCTATCTCCTGGTTGGATGGTTATTGCCTATTCTAAGCACTGGTATCTGGGCGTTTGTTTCAACTCAAACCATTCATTCGCAGTAAGTTTTTACATAACCTGCATTCTAAAAACAAGAAAGGAAAAAAATAATAAAAAAATAATTAAATTCTCAGCTCTCCTCTCTTTGTTCTTTTGATGCAAGAAGAATTTGTTTCAAGAAATAGTACTTTGCATTTTTTCTGTTACTACTTACAAACTACAAACCTTGTTTTATTTATTTTGAAATTTTTAATTCACATATACAAAATAACTAGAAGAGCAATACATGAAACAAATTATAAGTTTATGATTATGAAAGTAGCATAGAATACAGATTATAATTTTTAAACATGTAAAGAGTAGAATAGGGGTGTATATCGAGTTGTATGGATATCGTTTACACATTGCGCATTTTTAGAAATGTCTATATTTAGAGCGGTGAAAGTTTTTATTAATTTGCTTATTAAAGATGCTGGTATGGATACAACCATGAGATATATTACTGGATATCTGAGGGACCAAGGCTTTGCGTCATAGCTGTAAGTATTTTCATCATGCAATACTATAAATATGTCATGATTATGAACATTATTTTCTAGATAAATTTTCTATTCCTGATTAACATTCTCCGTCTTCTTTATTCTAAATTTGGTTCAACTTCACAAGATCAAAGTTCTCTCAGGTAACAGAGGTTAAAGTGTACAAAGTGCACAGTACACATTCTAATGTATAGGTTTTAGTTCTAGATTTAGTCATGGCGCGCGTTGTCAGAGTTGTCGTGATCAGAGCTGAAAACTTTAGAATGGTGGATATCGGGATTAATGCTTAATCCACTCTTTTTCTTAATCTCCAGATTAAATGTTACTTGTTCTTCTCTCATTTTTAATCTCACGAGCTGGGAACTTTTGAATAGTGGATATCGGGATTAATGCTTGATCCACTCTTTTTCTTAATCTCCAGATTAAATATTGCTTGTTCTCCTCTCATTTTTAATCTCCAGATTAATTTACCGATCGGGATTAAGGATATCCCATTCTAAAGTTTTCAGCTCAGATTAATTTTCCGATCAGGATTAAGGATATCCCATTCTAAAGTTTCCAGCTCAGTTTATATCACCCAAGGTTATTATGGAAAGTTATTTCAGAGGTGTACGCATCTTTTGTACTGCAGTGTATTATCTCTGGGCGGTAATGTAAACACAAGACGGATGTCACAGCCTGACGTGGGATCTATCTTTCACAAAAAAAATCAATAAAATATTCTGCTCATAGGAAACTTTTATGTAAATTAGCAAAATTTTCAAAATTCAAAGCTTTTTTCCTCCTCGGATACTAAACGAACACTGATGCACCTATTCTTGTTTACAAATTCCGCCCAGAGAGAATTGGTTTTTAATATGTACGCAGAGTATTCGCAACTGCAATTAACTTTCCTTGCATTAGTACCTTGATCTCCCCCATTGTTTTAACCATTTCAATACAATGCTATAGACATTAGAAGCAATGTTATTATGACATTTGTCGATGTTTATTTACTATTAGAGAGGATTTACCAGGGAGAACTGCCAACCTTACCGGGAATTTACTTTTCTAAATGTTTTCGAGACTTTTGTGATGAAATTTCATCACAAGCGTAAGCGAGGGATAAAATTTCATCAAAAAAGTCGAGAAAACATGAGGAAAAGTCAATTTTACAGTTCTCCCGAAGGAAATTCTAGCTATATGTAAATGTTAAGTTTTATCCCATTTTTTAAGCAACATTATCAACCGAGTAAACTTTTCAATAATAATTAATAAGTATATATTCAATTGTCTTACTGATAATATTAATATGTATAAATACTAAAAAAGTTATATTTTTGCTAAAACTTTGAAAATTAAGCTTTATTCATCTTGTAAATGCGCAAATTTTTCTCATGAAAATGTGCAAAGCATCATTTTCTCTCCCTTAGGCGAAAACAAATATATTTACTGCACTGTTGCTCAGAATGGGATGAAATATATTTTGATTGAAAAAAAAACATTAAAATTATTCCTGGAACCTGTCTCGATTTCGAATAAATTATTTATTGCTTGATAATTTTAATGGAAAGCGAAATTTGAGAGGAAATAATCTTTTTTGTCGTTTTCCCCTTTTATTAATAATACATTCTAGAACTATTTGCGCATTTAATTAAGTTAATCGATAATCATTAATGCTTTAACATGGCTTTTTAAGTCTAACATTGTGTTAAAATGGTTGAAACTTTAGAGGGAGATAAACTGATGCAAGACAACGGCTTGGTGCTTAAATCTTAATTTTACCTCGCTTAAATAGTTAATGGATTTCAGTCATTTTAAACTATCAAATAATCTAAGCTTGAAACAACAAAGATTTACACCATCATTTTGAAAAGATATAGGGATTAGAAAATTTGAGTTTGTGGCAAAAACTCTTTGCAGTACTTTACGATACTTAATTAAAGATTCTTTGATCATCCTTTTACCAGCATTTTACACACCGAAAATTACTATTACCTAATTAATTAAGCAAAGAATCCACATCTTTTGCTTTCGCTAGCTTCAAAAGAACTATGTTCTTTTCAAAAGCACAAATTTTCAAATCATATATCTATGCAACCTGATTATTTTAACCTTTAACATTTCAAACCTTGACAATTTGATCTAACATAATTCAAAATTTAAAATATCAAAGGTCTGCAACATCAGGTTTCAAAGATATAGGGGTTAAAAATCAGAATTTGTGGCAAAAACTCAGTGGCGAAATTAACATAAAAAAGATTTAAACACTTTCTTACCAAAACACCACACAATGTTGGTTTACCTAAATTTCAAATTAAGTTTTTTTAGTTTCCACTTTTACTTATTCAAAAGACAAGACTATAAGTATATATCTTCATATTAAAGGGAGTGTCCGAGAAAAAATGAAAGGGGGTATTGGCTTATGGCGAAAAATTATCGATGGTGATCGCTACAAATATTACTTCTATCTGTTGCATCTCGAAGGAGAAATTTGTTAAAAATGACGCATACCGAAGAACGAAGCGTCCATGCAAATTCAGAAAGTTGCAACATACGACTCGGATCGTAAAAATCAATTTAATTTCAATCAAATCATTCAGACATCACAACCTATAATCATCGATAATTTTTCGACGCGTTGTTATATAGTTGATATATCATAACATTTTTGATTTGTTATTTCAAATAATATTTAGCTTACAACTTGTTTTCACGTCTGGCGTTGGATTTTCGAACATTTCTGGAAAATATTAAAATATCGTCTTCATTCAAACGGGGAAAACTATATTATTTTTATAATTCCAAGATAGAGTTTAGAATACTAACTTTACTAAATTTACTATTTCCAACTGAAGTAATAAAAGTACTCTATTGCACTAAACAAATGTTTGCCAAAAAGAAGTTCCAATACATAGAAGTCAGTTTAAATATATTTTCATTACTTGCACAGGAATTGGTAAATACCTTTAACAAATTATTGTAAGGTATAAAGTGATCTAATAAGATGAAAGCTTGCTAACATCTTTTTGCTGCATTTTACCATTAAAAATCAAATATTTTTATTTTACATGATAATGGTTTCAGGGCTTTCAAAACAAAATCCATCTTTTTGAAAAAATTTAATGTTGAAAACACTTACGTATGTTCTGATCATTGCGCTCATCTGATTTTTAAGCTTGAGTGATGTATTTCATATTTTTTTCGGCATATTTAATTTCTTGTATAATTTGCTGGTCATTGCTTTTTCCGTGTTTACGCAACGTCTGATTTGATATTTTATAATTCCAACATCTGTTAAAATTAACATACTAAAACTGTCAAATCTGTCAATTACGTCTCGCACTGATGCATATACGTCCTAAGCATTGAAATATAGTAATTTCTCATGCCCCCNCCCCCCACAGGAGGAGTGAAAGCATTACAATTTAATTCTATCACACATTCCAGAAATATTTAATCTCGTCAAGTCAGGTTTTTAAAATTATTTTCATAAACTTACTTTAGTCTAGTCTAAGAAATATTTAGATTGAATTATAATTTATCTGTTTACACAAGTTCAATTTCTGTATTTCAATGTTAATGTCAATAAGTCGCATTGACTAGACCGTTTATAAGATGGAAAAGAAAGATAGAAACATTTTCATTTAAGCTGAAACAGGTACAGGGGGTGTCGGAAGAACATTTTAAAGGTTTGATCATTGGCATAAATTAGCATGATTATTAATTAAAACATTGCTAAAAAGGCCCTTATTAGGGAAAAGGGCATTCTTAATTCTGGAGGACAAAAGGGAGTTGAAAAATGGATGACTAATTGCAGTTTGTCTAAAAGTAGGATAAGTTTGGTTTCAGCCTTGTGAAATCGGATTGATAGCCAATCTGATTAGTGTGCAACAAAAAAAGCTAAATCTATGATAGATTAAGTTCCCGACAGCATATTTACAGGAAGTAAGTCTTTGCCACAAACTCTGATTTTTTAATCTCTATATATTTGCAACCCAATGTCGTAGACCACATATATATTTCAAACTTTAAGTTTGTGGCAAAGACTCAATTCCTTTAAATCAATTCATAATAGAAATGATAGAGTTCTACTCAGGGGTGTATATTATTTCCCCCCCCCTTTTCAGTATCATATTTTTTCCACAAAAACAGGTATATTTTACAGGTTTCTGTAGCCCGCGCAAATACGAAGAAGTTTGCTGCGGCGGGGATGCAGGGGGGGTAAGAGCCCCCCCTTGCAAAGAAAATTTTTGGATTTTAGTAGTATAGTTGAGCGTTTTGGTGCCCTAAAAAGGTCAAGGTCCCCCCTGAGTTTTTTTTAAGCATTTCTAATACTGTTTTTTTAAATTTTGTTGCGTGTGTTTTTTCCTTCCCTCTTCCCCCTTTTCCCTTCCTTTCCAACTTTCCCCTTCCCTCTTCCCCCTTTTCCCTTCCCTCTTGCTCCTGTTCCCTTCCCTCTTCCCGTTTTTCCCTTCCCTCTTCCCCTTTTCTCTTCCCTTGTCCCCCATTTCTCTTCCCTTTTCCCCATCCCTTCCCCCCTCTTCCTTTTTCTTCATTTTTTTTACCGTAACCCAATGAAAGCCCATATCCCCCCCCCCCAGGGAGGGGCAAACACCCCTGGTTCTACTTAAGTCACAAACAACATATATAAGCTTCAATCACCTGATTTACATTATATAGATAGCATAGCTCCGCTTAAGTCTCGATATATTTAGATTTTAATCTCTTGGTTTACATGAAAAAATTAGTAGATCTCTACTTAAGTTCCAAACAACATACCTAGGTTTCAATCTCCTGATTTATATAATATAGATAGCATAGCTCCCGAACTACATATTTAAGTTTCAATCTCAAGGTTTATATGTTAGCGATGGATGAGCTCCGCTTAAGTTCCGATGAATATATTTCTTCATTCTCCTGGTTTACATAATAAAAATGGAAAAGGCTCCGCTTAAGTCCCAAACAACATGTTTTAGTTTCAATCTCCAGGTTTTTTACTTGAAATTATTTTCATGTGCTAGGATAGAAGGAGAGTCCGCACAAACCGTCAACGGATCTATCTCGGGGTAAGTTGAATGTGAGACCAATTTTTCAATAGAGTTTTCAACCAGGAAGTATATTTTTGAAATGCGCGAAATTATTTTCAAAAGTTTTTCTATTAGTGGTAGTTAGTGAAGGAGAAAAGGAAGTCAGTGGGTTCGTTTAAGGCAGGAAATTAGTTCAGTCAGGAAGTTATTTCTTATTTTTAACTACGTAAGGTTAGGTTTATGTATAATATTTGCACATTTTGTTAAGACCGATCTTTAATATTTGGATAAATGAATTTTTACCCTTCTGCATTATTCTTTTCAAAATATATTTGACAGTTTGTCATTTTCTAACAATATTAAAAGTAAAATATGTTCGATAACACACACACAAACATCAATTGTCGACCATTGGGATTCCTTTCAGAGCTGGGAATTTTTAAATAACTTAAACTTTTTTAATGTAAGATTAGTGCACCTTGTTGCCACTTGTCGTACCTATTCAATTTCTTCTCGGTGTTCATAAATTCCCATTAATTATTCCTCTTTCTTTATGGATCGAATTTTAGTTTTAAAACTCTTCACAATTATTCTCTTTGTTGAAAATATTAAAATTTCTTTAAGTTTGCAGATTAAATGAATTTGTTGAATAATCAGGGTTCTATCTTCAAATATTGAAAATTTAAATTTGTTGGAAACAATTTACCCTTCTAGGAAACAAGATTGATATTAAATTTTTAAATAGATATGTTGTGAGTCTGTTATGTTTAGAGCTGGAAAAGGAACTGAATAATCGTCTCACATTCTAGATTTTTTATGATTAAATATTTGAAACCTGGGCCGAATTTAATAAATTTGAACTGCTTACTGCCACGGTTCAAATTTTAAAAACCGATTCAAACCAAACCTTTGAATTGATGGTATAAATTTCAAACCGGCCCAAATTGATTAAATTTGGGCCCAGATGACATAGATCTTTAATATATGAAGTTGTTAATTCTGAAAACTCTGGAATAGGAAGTCGACTTTAAATAGTTCAATGAACACAAGACACAGTAAGTGTGCAGAGTGAACAGGCCCATTACCCTTAATAGTGATTTAACACCTTACTGGTAAAGCTATTTGCTTTGTAACAACATCAAATGAACTCAAGTATTCCCTTAATGTCGTCTTCTTTTCTGGCTTTCACTGTAGCCATGGTTTAAATATTAAAGGTTTTCACCACAGGGTGCAAAATATTAGAATATTAGAGTTTGGGGCGATTTGTTCAGTTTTATTAAATATACCTGATAAATGGTCGAATAATGAAGAGGAAAACAAATTTTGATATTTTCCAGCTTTCTCATTTTCCATTACATTTACTGCAGAAAAGGGATGAAAAGGTTTATTTTTTCTTCATGCAAGCAAGAAGATAAATAGTTGTTAGATTCAAATTTTTAAGTATTTACTTTGAAAGATGTAAGTAAATAAGATGAAAACTCTCTTAAAGGGACTGTAAACCTAATTTAAAGTGACCCCCCAGTTTACAGTCCCTTTAATACATCAACAAAAAACCAACACGTGAACGCATTTTTTTCACTTTAGCAGCTAGCGTACAGATAAATTGATGTAGTTGGAAATTTTTCTTTGAAAAATGCGCTGATAGAATTTATTATCTATTTGGTCAAAACTAATTTGATTCTACACCAGTAATTTACAGTTTTGAGGCATTTAAGTTATCTGTACGATTTATTATGCATTAGCGATTCTGTAAAAAAAACGGTTTAAACAGAAAACAGCTTCCATTTAAACCAACAATGTCTAATATTTTAGCTAAATAAAGATTCTACAGCGTAAACTCTAATTTGTATTCTTTACTCTCTGATTTATACTATTCTAGTCACAAAGCTCCCAAATGTTTAACTTTAACAATTTCAGTATTCGAGGAGGGAACGATTCTATTAGTTTGGAAGGATTAAGGTTTATAATATTTGTTTATGTTTCCTCTCCCCTTGAATGTTTGCGAATAATGTGCTATTTTTTTGCACTAATTTTCCTTGCAAAAATACTCTAAAGGAAATTTCGAGAACAAGCTCATTTTATTCTGTGTTTAAACTATGTTCAATGTTTGTGCATGAAATATAAAACTTTAAATTTAAATTTAAACAATAAAATATTGAACAAAGCAAATAAACCCTGCTCTTCAGTGAATGCTTTATTCATCCTAATATTTAGTAGTTAGCACTCATTTATTGTTTAAACAAAGATATAGGGATTAGAAAATTTTGTTTGTAGGGATACCTATGTTCCTTTCAATATATAATGTTTTAAAAGTAGCTGTCAACGTAATTTTAAGTGACCTTTTGTTTTACAGCACATCATTAACAATTTTCAATTTACACTATACATTTATGAAAATATATCCATCCCATCCAATTTTTACTGGAACATTATTTTAAGTTTACTGTTATGTATTTTCAGTGGCATCCATGAATAAGAATTAGTTTGAATACACCTCGTAGATTCAAAATGTTATGAAAAATTGCATAAATTATTTAGAGCGGGTCGACTTTCAGGTTTCGCAATGCCTAAGGCTTATGATTTAATTTATACTCCTGTCCTAGACATGTACATTTTAGATGTATGAAGAATATAATTTTGTTTAGCTTTAAGAAGCAATTCGAAAAATTCTCAAAGATTTATACGTAAAAGCTTGCAATATTTAGATCACTGTGAATTAACGTTGTCAGTCTCTTCAAAATGTTATTTACGCGTCAAAATTTTGAAAAAGGAATATTTTTTGTTTTTTTTCTTTCTTTTTTTCGTTATTTTCCTGGAATTCATCCTTTGCTGTGATTTATTTGTTTGATTTATAAGAGTTTAATTTATCCTAAACTAGCTTGGGGATCCAGATTTAACTAGATTCTCCCTTATAAAGGAAACCCAATCAAATTAGAATTTTTAAACCAAGCTAAGATAAGAGCATTCAAGTTCATGATTTATGATAAGACATGAACACCTTCACAAAATAATGCGAAAAAGTTTGCGAAATACGAACACAAATTTTTTGCATTTTTTTTCGAAAGTTTTCATTCGTTCGAAACCCTAGGTTTAACTTATTGATACTTTATCTACCTTAAACTATCTCGAGTTTAGTTCATTGATACTTTATCTACCTTAAACTATCTCAGGTTTAATTCATTAATACTTTATCTACCTTAAACTATCTCAGGTTTAATTCATTAATACTTTATCTACCTTAAACTATCTCAGGTTTAATTCATTAATACTGTATCTACCTTAAACTATCTCAGGTTAAATTCATTTATACTGTGTCTACCTTAAACTAGCTCAGGTTTAATTCATTAATACTTTATCTACCTTAAACTATCTTAGGTTTAATTCATTGATACTTTATCTACATTAAACTATCTCAGGTTTAATTCATTAATTCTTGATCAACATTAAACTATCTAAGGTTTAGTTCATTGATACTTTATCTACCTTAAATTATCTCAGGTTTAATTAACTAATACTGTATCTACTTTAAACTATCTCAGGTTTAATTCATTAATACTTTATCTAACTTAAACTATCTAAGGTTTAGATAATTGTTATCTTTGCCTCAAATTATTTACATTATTTTTATCTTTATCAGTTTTTACAAGAAAAATTAATACGTTTTGCTTTAAAGACTTGGCATAACTGTATTAAGTTCAGTACATATTAAGTATAAATTAGCAATGCAGTTCTATTTAAGAACAATGTATACCAAATGCTCTGTATTGTTCATTGTAAGCATTATCTTAAAATATAGAACTTGAATTCAAAATTACCGCAATTTATTTTAATGGTTTAAATCTCAACCTCACTGCCAACTGGAAACTGGAAATGAGAAGGTCGAACTTATGGTCTTGTCCATTAGCGCCTGATCCAATTAGGGTTCAGTCATGTGTTTGGTCTCTTTTCTGAACCAATAGAAATTTGCGTGGCGGTAACATCTATCTTTCTATCTAGCTCATTATCCAATTAGAGATGAATCCTTATATCGGCGCTATACACTAAATGGAAATATTTACTTCTACTGAAACTATAGTGCGCGGCAACATACCTGTTTTGATTTTGTGACCTCGTAGCTTCTCTACTTTTAATTTAATGCCTGCGGACAAAAAATCTGAGTGAAATTTGTAGTAATAAAGTCAGAAGGCTTCATCGGCCTTTCAGAGAGGGAGAATGTGGGAAAGGGGGGGAATTGTGTAAGGAGAGGAGGGAATTCATTGTAGAGTCCAGATTTGAGTTGCCCGGAACGTCCGGAAAAGGCGCGGAAAAATGGGGGAAATTTTTTTCCCTGTGTTGATTATTGAATAAAAAAATTCCAAAGCAGGCTTGCATGCAAAAAAAATCAGGGAGAAATCTCTTAAACGAAGTCAGAAAGCTCCCCCCCCCCCCCATCCTTTGTATGGAAATATGGACATTCCCCTTTAACCGAGGTGTTACATAATAGAAATTTAAAACATTCATTAGCTCTTTAATACGAAGATCTAGTAAGATTTCGATCTTACATAACATCCTAACTTTCGTTGCATACTGCAGTGATCTGCAATACTCTTACCTAATGAATTGTGGGGTTTGGTTCTGTTTTACTTTAATTAAAAGTATCCCTGCACAACTGGTGTAAATTTTAATATCCGAGCTGGGCAAACCTCGTTTGGACTGTACCGACAATTTACAATTACTAAAGCGGTAGAACTGTGTGTATTCTGGATGTTATTTTTTCAATCTTATTTTATTGACTTAATACTCGCCACTGCACTGGTTGCAACGCTTAGTAATATCACCAATAAGCAGTTATCATATTTATCTCGATGAGTTTAAAGTCTCCCAGGACGTTATTAAAGTCTAACTGTTGTATTCACAAGATGCTCTTTCCCCTCTGGATTCAAATAGAACTTATTTACAACATATGATAATTTTATCAATTTTTTGGCGCATGCGTATTTCGTTTATGTTTGCATGACTAAATGATTATGTAAGTTTAGAATTTGTCTTTATTTGAAATTTTTTAATAATGATTGTTATCTTCGAAGATAAATATCCTAAAAGAAGGGCTGTGGGAACATTTATTTTTTTAAATAAAGAAACATAGAAACAGAACGTTTGCCTCTCTAATTTTCTTATCACAATATCTTTGCAATCTGATGTTGTCACAGTAAACTAAAGGTCCTGGTCAAAAGTTTAGGGAGTCTTATTTAAACCTAATTTTATCCATTAAATGTATAACTTTTTAGCATTTGCTTTTTTATGCCTTTTTTGTTGGCCCAGGTATTCTATATTCTATATGCAAGGGCCTCTTAAGCTATTGTTGACGAATTTTGAAAGAGAGATAAAACTTTAAAGATTTCATATTTAAAACTATGTATTCTGCTAGATCAAATAGTCACGGTTTGTTACATCTGAAGGAGTATACCTTCAGATTGCAAAGATATACGAAGAATAAATTTAGAGTTTGATGCACTAATGCAGTTCTTTTTTTTAAATGATAAATTAATGTTAGTGTTATATTATTTCATTTTTATTGGCAACCCAGTATTTTTTAATATATCTATATATTTATCTAAACATTAATAATACATTTCTTATTCCTATATAGATATTGTTGTGTAATATGTAATGTGAACGATTGTAATAAATATTTTATATATATATATATATATATATATATATATATGATGATTATAATAATGTATATATATAACATATTTTGTAGGTCGAGTCTTAAAGCAGCCATAGTTCTTCAACCTCTTCTTGGAATTTCCAACTTCCTTCAGATTGTTGACAGCCCATACGATGTAAGAAAAATAATTTTTTTAAGAATTAAAAGAAATTAAATTTGTTCAATGTAAACTGAGTTTGTAGCAATAAAAGTATAAAGAAGTAAAGTTGAAAGAAAACTACCGAAAATAATAAAAATCAATAACTGATATTTACAGAAACAGATATTGAAGTATATAAAACAAGATTATAAGACATGTAGGGAGAAATGGAGAAGGGTGTTGGAACATTTTTTAGAAAGATGGATACCAAAATCATAGATAGAACACTTGTAGACAAGACATTTCAGAAATTAGATATTTAGTAGATATAAAAAATAGGTTCTTAATGTCTGAAAATTCAAAGTTACGACATTTCAAAGACAGATAAGAATTTCCATCGATAGGTAACATTTTCCATTTGAAGAATTATGATTTTTAAAATATACAAATTAATATATAAAATAAAATTAATTTGAATGTTGATTTAGCATATGTGTGTGTCTCAAAAATATCAACAAGCTATAAATATTGTCAAATTAGAGTGAAAATATGAATAATACGTGAAATAAAAGTCCTTAAAAAATTGTGTGCCAATTTTAGAAAAATTGACACTTCTACAGGTTTTTTTTAATAAATAAGAAAATTAATGATGAAAAGAGAAAAAGCCAACTCTGAATAAATTATATTTGTACTTTAGGCCCGTAAAACTTCATAAATCTAAGTGAATTAAAATGTAGAAAGAGCCAAATGATGCTTTTTTTAAAGCCTTCGGTTGGATATGATGTATAAATTTACATGATTAACTTACAGAGACGTAATATATACGTTATTCAAAAGATAGCAATCCAGTGACCGAATTTAAAGAATTTAAGCGGCGGTTTAAATTTAAGCTGCGGTTTAAATATGGTTGGTTCCACTTAAAATTGTATCAAATGTTTCAAGATTTAAGCCGGCGCTGAATTTAAACCGGGTTTTGGCGGATTTAAACCGCGGCTCAAATTCTTTAAATTCCATCTCTGATCTTTTGAGAAATCAAATGCATTGTTCAAGTCCAAAATCTCAAAATTAACTGACACGATTCGAATATGCATTCTAAACCGGCCTTTTCTTCGAAATACAGTGGGACCCATTAAATTGCGGAATATTTAAACATAGATTTTTAACATGTAGGTTGAAAATCAACTTATAAAGTGAAATATGTACGTACATTTTTTCTGTGTCTTGGACTCTTCAAAATCATTACTATCCAACAGTTCTATGGGTCTTACCATAGTTGTTAAAAAACAATTGAGAAAAAAGTGGTTTTACTATCTCTTTCTAAAATGAAGAATTGAACTAGCTCAAGAGAACTGGTTCTTTAGTTCTTGCTTTTTATAAATTCCGATCTCATGGTATAGAGATTAGAGACGTGTCTTATTGCTAAGGTTTTTGTAACTTTTTATTTTTTATAATTGTTATTTCAGGTTCATCACTTATCAGTTAAGTATTCAGGGACCGAATGTTATGAATTTGAGTTAGGTTCTTGAACTAACTACCTCCGGCTCAAATCCTGACTCACCTATTCAAAGTTAAAGATTCATTAGATTTTGAATCTGGGGTTCATTAAATTCGGTCCCGGGCCGACTGGGCAATGTTTAAGAAGAAAGAAAAAAAATCCCAAATTACAAAATGGTGACATATCAAACTAAGAAAAGAAGAAGACAATTTGTTTTATAGTTTTAACTGTGTATTTTTTGTCTACTAGGCCGGTATCATCTACTTCACCTTCTGGTCCTTCAGCACGAGCCTACTGGCCAGCTTGCAGGGGTTCTTCGCCGCAACGTTCTACTGCTTCTTCAACAAGGATGTGAGTAAACTTCGCGAAACCAATATATATATATGAGCTACAATATTTTTGTTTACAAACATAATGTACTGCAATTTCTGGGAGAAATATAAACAAAGCTCTTCATTTACTCTATCTCTCATACCGCTTTCATTTTCCAAACTTTTGAACTTTTTGGAAATTAAACGTCTCGGAAAGCCAGTAGGTGATTAAAAAAGTTATTAAATTGCCTTTGACTTTAAAAAATTAGCAATGGGTTACAAACCTACCGTTCACGCATGACCTAAAAAATTGATAAACGTATTGAATACGTAAAACCCTTATAAAATGAGAAATAATTTTATAAAAAGTTATAAAAAGTCTGCAATGAATGGATCAACAGTTGAAACGTATAAAAATGTTAAAAAGACATTTATACTTTTAATGATTTCATGTTCATTACATCTTATTCTAATGCAGTTGTTTTCTCATTTTTAAAGTAAAATAAAATTAGATTATTTTTTCCTTTGGGAAAAGGTCAAAACAATTTAGAATGAAAAGGTTTCTTCTAATTGGATTCTGTTAATTAAACCTAGCGATATAAAAGCAATTATACTTAACTTTTAATTTAAGAAATTATCACAGTTATTGCAATTTTTATCATTATTATCATCTTTATTATCATTTTTATCATTATTATTATTATTATCATTATTATCACTTTTATTATCATTTTTTATCAATATTATTATTATTATCATTATTATCATTTTTATCATTTTTATCACTTTCATCATTTTTAGTAAAAACATAAATATTATTTCTAAAAATTGTTTTAGGTTCACAAAGTGGTAAGTGTTTCTCCGCCTTCGTCACAGATTTGCGCAGATTCAAGGCAGTATATAAACTATACAGATTCAAGGCAGTATATACACTTTACAGATTCAAGGCAGTATATACACTATACAGATTCAAGGCAGTATATACACTATACAGATTCAAGGCAGTATATACACTATGCAGATTCAAGGCAGTATATAAACTATACAGATTCAAGGCAGTATATACACTATACAGATTCAAGGCAGTATATAAACTATACAGATTCAAGGCAGTATATAAACTATACAGATTCAAGGCAGTATATACACTATACAGATTCAAGGCAGTATATAAACTATACAGATTCAAGGCAGTATATACACTATACAGATTCAAGGCAGTATATACACTATACAGATTCAAGGCAGTATATACACTATACAGATTCAAGGCAGTATATAAACTATACAGATTCAAGGCAGTATATATACTATTCAGATTCAAGGCAGTATATATACTATACAGATTCAAGGCAGTATATACACTATACAGATTCAAGGCAGTATATATACTATACAGATTCAAGGCAGTATATACACTATACAGGGTTACCCACAAATGATGAGACTGTGAAGATGGACTTAAAACTATTTAAATATGACGATCCCAAGTTTACATCAAATCATCTGCCTGTAATGGGATCTTAAAGTGGCTGATTTAAATATTTTGCAAAGACAGAAAGAAGAATATACGGTGGTAGGCGATTATAGCAATATAATGAAGACGACTTTTTTATTTAAGTTTTAATTGTTAACAAGTTTTATTCGAATTACAAGTTTACAAGCAATTAAATAGAAGCTTTTTTAATTCTCTCTGTTTCCATGTTTTTGTGTATTCATGCTGTTGAACAGCTTTATTTAAATCAGAATTAAAATCGAAAGATGTCTTCATCATATTGATAAAATCGCCTACCACTGTAGTTGTAGAGAACCCGGAATATGTGGAAACAGACAAAATAAATTCCTTACAGTCGTTTCTAAAGTCTCATCCTTTGAGAGTGATCCTGCATATTAACGGAGAACTATTGATAAGATAAGATAAGTCTTAAAAACTCTGATATGCAACCAAATACATGCTTTTTTACTCCTGGATGACCTGGATGTAAAATTAAAACTAAGTTTGAGATCAGATCTTAAATTTCAAAGTGGTTGCAGTAATTTTTAATAATTAATCTCTTTAGAAAGCACTAATCCGTACATTTTCTAGTCCGTTGGATTAACTTTTTATTGGATATTTATATTGGTTGGACCGATTGGAACTTGTACATCTTAAATTCTTACTTAGTATCTAGTATCTGTTTTTAAACTTAGACTCTTCATCTTGTATCTGTTTTTAAACCTATATATCACTTTGTTTCTGACCGCCTAGATTTATTATCTTGAATCTGTTTGTTTGCCTAGATTCGTCACCTTGCATATGTTTTTAAACTTAGATTCTTCATCTTGCATCTGTTTTTAAACCTATATATCACTTTGTTTCTGACCGCCTAGATTTATTATCTTGAATCTGTTTGTTTGCCTAGATTCGTCATCTTGTATCTGTTTTTAAACCTAGATTCGTCACCTTTTATCTGTTTTTAAACCTAGATTCATCCACTTGTATTTGTTTTTAAACCTAGATCTTTTTTTAACTTAGATTCGTCACCTTGTATCCGTTTTTAAACCTAGATTCATCAACTTTTATCTGTTTTTTAAACATTAAATTCGCCATCTTGTATCTGTTTTAAACATTAAATTCGTCACCTTGTATCTGTTTTTAAACCTAGATTCGTCACCTTGTATCTGTTGAAACTACCCGGAGAAGAAACCTGAGCGGATTACCTAGGACGGATAGCTCTAGAACCAGAGCATCATTCAATACAAGGTGCAGACAACCCTTTTCAAGGGTCAGTTTTTAGACTTACTTGGTCATAGGAACTGATTAGTTGTCACAAACAATTTAAAACAATTTAACAATTTAATAACTATTTATAACACTGTTATTTTGGTTCGCAGTGTTAGAAAGTTTTTGGACAGAAATTTTCTCTTTATCGAGAAGGTTCAACCCTTTTTAGATTTAATTTTAATTAAATCTAAAAAGGGAAGAACCTTCGAGATATATAGAAAATTTAAGTCCAAAAACTTTATAGCACGTCGTTTCAAAATAATAGTGTTATAGGTAATTTTATGAAACGTTTGTGTACTTGTCTTATTTCAATGGCTATTTCTAGATCAAATAACTTTGAAACAAAGCAGAAGTAAAAATATAAAGTTGATTTCAATTTTATTTTCATTTCAATTGAAAAAAAAATATTTTGGAAATGCCTAAATTTGTTGGAGAAAATCCGGGAACCAAACAAAACTTTATAGCACACGTGCTAATTTAACTTTATAGCACGATGATTACTTTACAACACGTTTATTATGAAATTCACGATGAAGTGAGTAAGAATGATAAAGTACACAATAGTTTCATAAAAGTATTTTATCAATTCTTTTTATAAATAACTGTTGAGGTCTGATTTAAAATGGTTTGAAGTGAATTTCGTCCAAATTTCAAATTGCAATTGCAATAAAAAAAAAACATTTATCTAAATACCAACGATGAGGAAATCGACGTTTTTTATCTTGAATCATTTTAAACCTAAATGGACCACTTTATAGTTTTTTTTTCACTCCGATCAAGGTTTTAGAGCTAGGTGTGAAACTTAGAAAAAATTTTTAACTGTCATCTCCAGGGATAAATATGGTTCAAGGCTTACTTTAATTTTAAGTTTGTTTATCACACCAACTTTCTAGATTAAGTTTTAATCTTAAAGATTTCCCAAAATATTAAAAACTAAAAAGCTTAATTACGTTTTTCTGTACCTTGGTTTCAGCAAACTATAGCAATGCAAATATTGAAAAATGATACGAAAAAGAAGAAAGAGTAAATCTGCCAAATAAATGACATAAAGGAATTGAGTCTTTGTCACAAACTCAAATTTTGTAATCCCATTTTGTATTAATTTATAACTGGATGGTATTTAATCTAACAGAATTCATAGCTTAGAATATCTAAGGTCTATGACAATGGGTTTCAAAGATATAATTATTAGAAAAACAGAGTTTGTGGCAAAGACTCAATTCCTTTTAAATGAATTGTAAACTTTCCTTGGTCTAAAGTTGTCTTTGTGTTTTTAACTCAATACCTCCAGGAAGATACGCCTTGAAGCTTCACATCATGTGTTAAATCTTGCCAAGCCAATAGGATATACCAGAAACCTTGTTTACAAATGAATTGTATTTTAGTTTCTGGGAGGAATGTTTACAAACACTGTGCTGATAAGTCTTAACCTTGTTTACATTCTTCCCAGAAACTGTAGTTTACATTATTTGTAAACAAAGCTATTGCAGTTCCTGGCAACGAACCATAAAGATACCGTGTTCTGTGACAGTACAGTACAGTACTGGACAGTACAGTACTGTACTGGACAGTACAGCACAGTACTGGACAGTACATAATATAAACCAATGTTCTAAGTTTTCTCCTTATCCTCTATAACCTTGTCATCCAATGAGTTTTCTCCTTTTCCTCTAGGACCTTGTCCTCCAATAAGTTTTCTCCTTATCCTCTAGGACCTTGTCCTCCAATAAGTTTTCTCCTTTTCCTCTAGAACCTTGTCCTCCAATAAGTTTCCTCCTTATCCTCTAGGACCTTGTCCTCCAATGAGTTTTCTCCTTTTCCTCTAGGACCTTGTCCTCCAATGAGTTTTCTCCTTATCCTCTAGGACCTTGTTCTCCACTAAGGTCGAGCAGGATAGAGAGACCACAATGGTGTGAGGAGGAGAGAGCAGGGGGTAGACTAGGAGTCTGGAGTCCCAGGGGGAGAAGTGAGGAGGAGAGAGCAGGGAGTAGACTAGGAGTCTGGAGTCCCAGGGGGAGAAGTGTATCAACCAGAGGTTGGAATCGAACAGACGGAAAAGAAAACCTCGCCAAAAATATAATTATGGAAATTGAAACTGAAATCTAAATAAAGTATTTATTCAATTTCTATCTTACTTCTTATAGAAATGTATTTTAGAGAGAAATGGTATACATATATTTTTATAAGAAATGTTTCTATTAACACAGGAATCAGTACCATCCACAAACATACAAATACGGATAAGGATAATTGAATGATGTATAAACCTAATCAACAAGATTTATTTCAGTGAGCTGAGAACGTAAAACCTAGAGTTCTAATCCCTTCTCTTCTCATTTTCCCAGTAATCACAATCCGTTCTAACACTCCGTGGGTTCAAATTATCTTAAAATCTAATTTCTTCCTTTTCCTCCTAAACTCTTTAAACTCAAAATAATCATATTTCTTGTCTGAATTCCTCCATATCATTCAATTTTTTTCTCACCCCCCCTCAACTTTCCACTCATTTGGTTCCTCCATTCTAATAACAAATTTTCTTTAAATTCTCTATTTCAGTTTTCAGATACTTCAAATCCTCCATATTAATCTTTCTGATCCTCCAAAACCTGTTCCTTCCTACCCTCCATTTCAATATTCCTTTTCCTTTCAACCCACCATTCCAATCTTCCAGTTCCTCTCAACTCTGCATTCCAATCTTCCTGTTCCTTCCTACCCTCCTATCCAATCTTACTGTTCCTTTAAACTCTCCATTCCAATATTCCTGTTTCTTCCAACCCACCATTCCAATCTTCCTGTACCTCTCAACTCTTCATTCCAATCTTTCTGTTCCTTCCTACCCTCCATTCCAATCTTCCTGTACCTCTTACTGTTCCTTTAAACTCTCCATTCCAATATTCCTGTTCCTTCCAACCCACCATTCCAATCTTCCTGTACCTCTAAAACTCTTCATTCCGATCTTCCTGTTCCTTTAATCTCTCCATTCCAATATTCATGTTCCTTCCAACCCTCCGTTCCAATCTTACTGTTCCTTTAAACTCTACATTCCAATATTCCTGTTCCTTCCAACCCTCCATTCCAATATTCCTGTTCCTTCCTACCCTCCATTCCCAATAAAAATCTTCTTGTTATTACCTACCCTCTATTTAAATTCCTCAATTCCAATCTTTCCATAATCTCGTGAGGTTATTTATTTTCCAGATTCCAAATATTAGTTTTTTACATTATTTTGTTGATGCTTCTAATGGGTTTGTATTGGATATAGATAGATCTATCGAGTTTAGAGAATTCCTTGAATTCATGCCAAACCTTTGGCTGGATGTCAACACTTTAATATTTTAAAAAGGTAAAAAGAACATCTGAGAAGGGAAAACAGCACCTTAAACATATAAAATATCAAACAAACAATTGATAAACTAAAACCCGTCATTTATGAATGTCAAAAGCTGTTTGATGAATCCTAAAGAATTTGTCCACAACACTGCATACTCAGTTTAATTACCTTACATAGCCTGTCTGTCCCTTTAAAGGGTTGAAAAAAAGGTTCAAAGGCACTGTCGACTTAATATCACGTAATTCTTAATTTAAAGCAGGGCTTAATTTAAAGCAGGGCTTAATGGTACTCTTCAGTTCTGGTTTCTCTGTAAAAATAATGACTTAAAAATATTGAGTAGAAACTAATATTGGAAATTGACAGAATTCATCAATTTTTACAAAAGACATGTGTTTCCTTACTGTCGCCTATGTAAAGGTTTAAAAGATACCATTGTGACTCGGGAATCCAACTTGACATTTTTGTCCACAGTCCTTTATAAACTAAATCTTGTTTTATGACTATTAGGATGATTGACTATTTGAATTCACAAGAAAGTTTGCAAATAATTTTACATAGATTTTTGTGATGTATCAAAAGTAAGTCGATTCATAGATGTGATCAGCTTTCCTTGAGACAAAACATCGTGTCTTTATAATATGATTAGAGTTAGATTTCGTCATACTTAGGACCAAGGTTGTGCACTGTAATCTATTTATATTAAGAAGTAATATCTGTTTGTCTATCTCTCCGTTTGTTTGTTTTAGCGTCCGATCATGACTCATGAATGCCCGTACCGATTTGCCTTAAATTTTGATTGGGAAACTGAAAAGGACCGTGGGAATGTTCTTTGACTGATTTAAAATTCTATGTTGACTGTGTCCGAATTTAATGAATTCAGGCCGCATCTCAAATCCTCCAAAAATGGTTTCAATTGAGCGCTGGATTAAATCTGGAAAAATTGAACACGTGGAACCAACCATATTTGAGCCGCGGCTCAAATTCTTTAAATTCGGCTTCTGGTTTTCTTTTATTCGAAAAACTCCAGGTAAAGCAGGGTTCCCAAGCTAGTTAATAATGAAATATGAGGTTATTGTCTGAGATCGGAAACTTTGTATCCAATAACCTAAGACTATACAAACTCTAAGAGTAAATATATTTTTAACATGTTACAAAGCAAATGTTTTTACTTGTAATTTAACTCAGATATTTTATGACAAGATATCTGTTTACACTGCGCCATTACTGTGTTTCATGTCCATTAGACTTTTTGAAAACAAAACTTGAGTTCAAAAGTTGTCTTGCTATTCCAAAGTTTTCTGATTCTCATTGTAGACTAAAAAGATCGAGCCCATACTTCCCTCTGCCATACAAAGTTTCATAGAACTAAGATAAAGAGTGTTAAGATTTCTAGAACTAAGCTAAAGAGCATATACATAGATGAAGATCATTAAGATTTCTAGGTCTAAGATAAAGAGCGTATACGCTTTCTAGAACTAAGATGAAGAGCGTTAAGTTTTCTAGAACTAAGATAAAGAGTGTATAAGTTTTTAGAACTAAGATAAAGAGCGCATAGGTTTTCTAGAACTAAGATATACAGCCTACAAAGTTTTCTAGAACTAAGATAAAGAGCGTATAAGTTTTCTAGATAAAAAGATGAAGACCGTAAAATTTGCCTAGAACTGAGATGAGGAGCGTACAAATTTTCTAGTATACTAAGCTTAATTCCATCTATAATTCTTTTTTCTAGAACGAAATTGAAGAGAGCATAAGTTTTCTAGAACGAAGATAAAGAGAGTATAAGATTTCTAGAACTAAGATATAGAGCGTTAGGTTTTCTAGAACTATGATGAAGAGCGAATAAGTTTTTTTTTTCGAATCAAGTTTTGAAATTTACAGACCATTAAATCTTTCTTATTTGAATGTCGATCATTCATTCAAAAACTTTTACTTCATGCATTACTTTTATCTGAACTGAAAGTTTTTAAGATATGGAAATGAAAAGGGTTTTATCTGGCCCTGTAAAAATAATCTGGTTGTGGCCCAGGGGAAAAGTGGATTATTGATCAACCCTAAGCTAGTTACATCACTTTACCGAGACAGTACAAGAAATTTCAACCTACATTTTACATTCATAAAGTGCCTTGACCGATTCACACTTTAAATTTACTATATTTATCTGATATTGATGTTAATGTGGAAGTTTTAAAATTTGCTTTAGAGTTTAATTTAGGTTTTTATTTAATTTTAATAAAGTTGATTATAGACTAAATCAATTATACGGCTGTTGCAAAGGGCATTATGTGTATATATAAATATACATCTATAATAAATAGATAAAAAATAATAGTAATACATACATATCTACGAATATACATAAAATTCATTTATACATAAATACATTCATATAAACATAAATACATACATATATACATAAATACACACATATATACATAAAAACATACATAGATCTTTTATAAATATATGTACTACATAATGTATATAGCTCTATATGAGCTCTATTCAGTATGTAGTTACAAGTACATTAATATAAACAAGGTACATACTACATTACTTACAACTCTACTTTAAATGATATATGTACATATGTACAATATTTATATATAAACACTTACAAATAAGTACAACGTACAGAAGCCGACGTTAATATCAATACAATGAAGACAACTTTTCTTTTAAAGTTTTGATTTCTAATTTCAAAGTGCAAGTTTGCAAGAAAACAAAGAAAATATGTTAATAAACATCTTTTTTTGTTTCCATGTTTATGTGAATCAAGGCTGCTTAAAAGCTTGGTAGAAACCAGAATTGAAATTGAAAGTCTTATTTATTGTTTGATATATGACGACGATTCTACGTTCATGTTTTATGTTAAATTCAAAACATGGTGAAAACTATATTAGCTAAAAATTGGGATATTGATAAAGTGCCATTTGCAATGCTCATTTCCCGGCAGAAAAAAAAACATTTTTAAAGAATACAATTATTTGTGAATTTTTCTGTGCAAATTTTTTTTTAGTGAATTTTTTCTTACTAGGCTTTTAGGGCGCTTCTTCTATTTAAATTGTGAATGTTCTTTTTGTTTACATTTTAAAACAAAGAAGAAAACTATTTTGCGGATTTTTAAAAATAATTCGCGGATTTTCAAGAATTTAAATTTCTTTACAAAATTAAAAACCTTTAAAACACATCTTTTTAATTTTTATCATTCATAAACCTTCCCTGTGGTCATGTGATGTCCCACAAAAATTTGGGCCCGATCGGTTCAGCCGTTTTGACGTTTATTGGATACAAACAAACAAACAGACATAGTTGCTTTTGCACGAAAATTAGTATAACTTTGGGTTTTCAGGCTTAACTTTTACAATTTTTTACAGCTTTGATAACAATTATAACAGCCTTCATAGTTTGAAATATCAAAGATCTACTTCATTGGGTTGCAAAGATATAGGGATTAGAATATCAGAGTTTGTGGCAAAAACTCGATTCCTTTTTCAAAACTGACATTCCTGGGTATAAGCCTGTATTATATAAACTTCACAAACAAAGGGAAAATTTAAGCTCGATTGTAGGAGGCGGAGTAGCTTTTGTTGGGTTAAAAACAAACATGATTTTGAGGTCATTGATAGTTTATCCTGTTTTGAGGGAAAAAGTGTTGAATCCATTTTTTTAAAGGTAAAAGTTTTTCCAAATTATTGGTAACATATACAGACCTACCAGGCCAATTCTAATATTGATAATTTTACTGAAATATTAGATACAATTCTTAAAAAAAATTTCGTTGGGCAAAATATTTAATAAAGCAGTGGAAGTTGAAAAAATGGGAGATCTGAAAATTAACTTGCTTATTCACAATTTTCACAATGCTACATCCAACTTTTTGAACACCCTGTTATCACATTCTAAACTTCCGCGCAATTACTTTGCCCACACGTATATCAGAAACTTCTGCCACACTTCTTGACCAAATTTAATCTAATTCAAACCCAGATTTAAAAGAGTGCGGAATTATTTATTCAAGTTTATCTGATCATTTACCTGTTTTCTCGTTAACAAAGTACCCTCAAAATAAAAATATTCCTGAGAGTCAACCAATTTGAATTAGAAATACTTCAATTGGAAATAAAGCTAAGTTTAGGGAAAAATTTCAAATAAATGACTGGACATCTATAATGATAAATGAAGGCCCTGTTACTGCATTTTCTGAATTTTCTAGCACTTTAAATAATATTTATGAAAATAGTTTTCCCTTAATAGAGTCAAAACTAAACAAAACTAGAACCCCATCAACCCTTGGTTTACATCTGCTTTGCTAGTGTCTATAAAAAATAAAGAAAAACTATTTAAGAAAAAAATGCTAAATCCAAATCCTATAAATATATCTGCTTTCAGAAAATACAACATTGTTTATCGTTCTTTTATAAAAAGGCCAAAGTTAGTATTTTTACTCAAAGTTTCAAGAATATTCAAAAGACATAAAAAAAACCTGGACCTTACTTAATTCTATAATTTCCTCTAAAAAAGTCATTCGGTTCCTGATATATTTACTGATAACGATCAAACTTTTGTAGGATCATAGTGAAATAGCAGAAGGTTTTATTGATTTTTTTTGTCAACGTGAGACCTAGGCTGTCTAGTTACAGTCCGGAATCTAATGTCACTTTTGAAACGTATTTAAATGAGTCCATAATTGAAAATTTTGTTTTTGCAAATATTTCACCGGATATTATTTTAGAAACAGCTCAAGAAAAGACAATTTTCTACCAAACTACTGAAGGAGATTATTGATTGTATCGATTATCCTATAGCACATTTATCTAACCTTTCTTTTAAAACAGGATACATCCCTAGCAAGCATAAATGTGCAAAAGTTTAATAAGTTTAATAATCACAGAACTATAAGTTTTCCTCCAGCTTTGAGTAAGCTACTTGAAAAAATTGCTGCAATACAAATGTTTAGATATCTTAATAAGTTTAATATCTTTTACGAGCACCAATTTGGTAATTTAGACATACTTTAAAAAAAACTAATTCATTATGGTTTCAAAAATGTGGCCAACACCTGGTTTAAAATTTATCTTGTTAACATAACTCAATATGTGTGTATAAATGGAGTTTTTCAACTGAAAAAAATTATAATATGTGATGTTCCTCAAGTAAGTGTTTATGGGCCCCTGCTGTTTCTTCTTTATATAAACGATTTGCCACTAGCAACATCTTTTTTACCAGCCTCTTTGTAGATGATACTAGTTTTTTGAAGTCATCTCCTGACATTGCAAGCCTAATACTTGATGCAAACACTAAACTAAAAAAAGCAGCAAAAATATTTCAAGCAAAGAATTTGACACTAAATGTCCCCAAAACAAAGTATATAGTATTTAGAAATAGAAATATGCACTTTGACCCCGACAGTTGTAATGAGACATTTGAAAGAATTGGTAATGACTGTGTGAACAAATATTTCAAAGGAATTGAGTCTTTGGAACAAAATCAAATATTTAAACCTCAATATCTTTAGAACTCGATGTTTTAAACCTTTGATATTTCAAACTCAGATTATTTGATCTAACATGTTTGAAATATCTAAGGTCTGCAACATTTGGTTCCAAAGATATAGTGATTAGAAAATCAGAGTTTGTTGCGAAGACTCAATTCCTTTGTTGGACTAAAACTTAATGAATTTTTAAACTGGGATGTTCAAACTGAACATATCTAGAATAAAATTGCTAGCTCAATCTTTCCTTTGTCTCAAATTAAGAATATCTTACCATTAAACATCGTCTACTTGTTTATAACCCTCTTGTAAGGCCTCATATTGAATATGCAATTCTTACTTGGGGAGGGGTTAAAAACTCTAAACTGAAAAAAATCAGATTTTGTAAAAAAAAAAAAATGCAATCAGAACGGTTAATAATAGTACTTTCAAGGCACATCCAAATCCATTATTTTCAAAACTGAAAGTTCTTAATCTTGATAATACATACAAACTTCTGACATTTATGCATGGATGCTTTAATGATAACCTCCCTCTTCCTTCCAAAATATGTTTAGTCTCTGCTGAACCGAATAGAACAAAATCATATAAATTAGAACGGGTTTTAAACAAAAATTTAGAAAGATTTCCGTCCGCAATGTGTCGACATATAAAATCATTCATTTGGGTTGTTTCTTTTTTAAAATCGATTCTTTTTAAATTATTAAAAAATGCATCATAAGTTCTACAGTAAACTAATTAGATGTTTAGGAACATATTTCTCAATTGAAATTTTCTCAATAAATCAATGTTAGAATCAAATATTTCTTTTTCATCATTGCATTGAATTTCTTATTATTTATGAATTTGTAGCAGATTTCTTCAAATTCTTCAAATGTCGTCTTTTCAATAAAAATTCCAGGAATTCTACAGAAAATGTTTGTGAACAATGAGACATTGCAGAAAACAAATTTTATTTTTTCAACCTGTTCCTAAACATCTAATTATTTTACTGTTAAACTTTTACTTCATTTTTCGTCGTCTTCATTTAATAATTTCCAAAAAATCGATTCTCCAAACGTAACCACCCAATTGGATTCGACTATGGGCTAAAACTCAGTAAGTATACATCATTAAAACGTTTTATGTGTCTCAAATGAATCCTAAAAAAATTCTCCAAAATAATACATTCTCAGTTCAACTACCATACACTCCCTTTAACTAAAACCCTAATGGTAAGAAATTTGTTTAAATAAATAATTCTATTATTAATAATTCAAGTAATCTAAAAAATGCAGTAAAATTGTACTAAAGGTTTCTATATATGCATCATCTTTTTATACAATATAAGATATCCGATTTTATAAAGATGTTAAGTGGTTTAGAAAAAATGTCCCGAAGTAATTTAAAGAAGTCTAAAAGCCATGTCGTCTTTCTAATATTCTCGGCTTAAACATAACTTAAAAAAGTTTTCGTGTTTATTGAGATTTGAGACACACTAGTTTACTGTACATATAAATTTTGCCTTTTAAAAATTCTTTTGTTTGACCAATTTAAATGATACATTCAGTTTAAATTGAAGACCTTTTTGTCTTACTCTTAAAGTAATAAAGAAAAAGTAAGAGTAATAAAGAATGAAAAATTTCCTATGTATCGCAAATGTTTACAATTTTTAACACGCACAGACTGTCATTTATCATGTCGTTCATTTCTTGCATTTCGTTCAAGTAACGAATCCGAATAATCGTGAAAGGAAAGTTTAAGACGATTTTTGTTCGCGGGGAAATTTTAAAAAATGGGTTTGACATTTGCTCAGCTGATCCGGCTTTTTCAATTTTTAGCTTCTAGGTCAAGGTTTATGATTTTTGACCAGAGATGGCGTTAAGAGCGGTTAAAAATATTCCTGGCAGGGAGCTGCTGCCCTCTATAAACCTGGAGTGAATCTAGAAGCGGGCGCATGCGCCTTCAAGTTTTTCTCTCCGGGTTCGTAACTCCTCCTCTGCTCATTTCACCCGTCAGTCGGCGCTTAGATACCGGGTTGGTAACAACTCAAATACGCAGACAATTTTCCTATGTTTATGAAAATCATTAGAGATTGTTTAAAGTGAGAAAGATGACTGCAATATTCGCAAGAAATCAGTTATAATAAGTAAATATACTTTAAACTGGACTATTCCATAGTTAGAAGATGGAGGAAGGTTGGAACAGTGTGAAGTGGGTTTGGAGTATTCTACTTCTTATGGTTGTATTGGGTGGGGCGGAAGGCGGAGAAATTACTTGCCATGCTATTAGATATACTTTTCTTAATAAAAATCTAGATGTCACGGATGTACCCAGATCCCCACAGCAAGGTATCTATCTCATTTTCTCCTGTATTAAACTATATTTCTATCCAATGTCAATTCTTGCTCAAGTTGATAGGTTTCAATATTATTATTTACATCTTTTAAGCATGTTATTGTGTTTTATATCATTTCTTAGAATGGTCAGTCTTTACATCTTTTAAAGTAATTGATATCACATCTTATATTTGTATCTATTGTGCCTTTATTGTGTACGAAATGAACTTTAATAATAATGTACATTCTTAAACATTTTATAGTATTTGATATTAAATATTCTTTTGCATATTTTTAACATTCTAAAGTATTCAAAATCATATTTTAGCAAAGTATAGTTACAGAAAATTAAGTTATATAATATATATCAATATTTATGTTTATCTCTATCTATGTATATGATTGCTATAAACTGAGTTGTTAAAATCCTTCTATTTGAAATTTGAAATGTTTCATTTTCTCTTTTTATTTTATTAAAGAACTTTTCTCCAAGCTTGTACCCTCTCCGTTCAAACTTTGATATATTTTGTTGAGTCAATATATTAATATTTCTAATGTATAAAAGAAAAGAATTCGCTATTTTAGCATAGAACGTTAGAACAAATTCGTTTACTATAATTCTATTTGCGGTAAAATAAAGAAAAACAAGGAAGCGCTTATCTTAAAAAACGGTTTTTTACTTAAAATACTTTTTTTCTTGATTTATATTTTGAGACGAATAGTTATAGAAATATTTATCAATAGAATAATAACTCTTCAATGACAAGTGGATAACATGAAGTTTTGTATAATTAGTNTGAGGAGCAGGGGTCAGGGGGGAATTTCATTAACTGTCCAGAACTTAATTACAAAATTGACACTTTCCTTAGTACACATAAACAAAATTGAATATATTGATACAACTTTAATATTTGAAACTAACAATGAACATTCCAAATGAATAGGAATTATTCAAGAAAATAGAAATATGCAATTTACATAACAAAGAATTTATGGCTTATCTTAAACTCAACTTAAAAGTTTTATACCAGACTGAAAACATTTCCGTGGTTCTTCTGAGTTCTCTAATCAAAATTTGAGGCAAATCGGTCCTGGAGTTCATCAGTTATGATCGAACCTACAAACAAACAGACAAACATAGATAACTATTTTATATATATATATATATATATATATATATATACAGATTAAAAAATATATATATAATTACATATTCATATTACTAGTTATATGATTTATCTTATTCACTTATATATATATATATATATACAGATTAAAAAATATATATATAATTACATATTCATATTACTAGTTATATGATTTATCTTATTCACTTACAATACATGAATATATTTATTGATGAAAGTTGACCAATCAATCAATCTTTGATGGATATTCAGCTAATATATACAATATATGGTAGTACATAATACACATATACATTACATTTGAGAAAATATTTATTTTAAACATATACAGCGTGATAACAAAGAAACCCAAAAAAAGAGAACCCGTGATTAAGTAAATTTTTAATTTTTCGAAAAAGTAGTTGTAAACAATTTTATCGTCTATTGAGGTAAAAATTCGCGAATTTTTCCCCAAAACTTCGCAGAACGGGTGGTTTATTTACATAACTGTCCCAAGGGACGTTAAGTAACCTAACCTCCCTCTGTTGGGGGAATCATAGGTCGGTAATGTTGGTCAAAAGGCGGTAAAAAAAATTTTCAGATGCACAATCATTCTACTTTTTTTTGGTTTCCACTGTATCAAAAATAAGAAATGCCAATGTTTTATCTTTTAAGTTTTTGCATTAGTCAGACAATAAAAGCATGGCAAGAATCTGCATCTACTGTCATCTTAGAAAATTGAACTTTTTATTGTTTCAAATATCAAAGGATTTTTTCTAGAGCAGATAATTAGCCTGTTATTCATCTAGATTAGACTAGTCAGGGGACACTGTTATTCATCTAGATTATACTAGTCAGGGGACACTGTTATTCATCTAGATTATACTAGTCAGGGGACACTGTTATTCATCTAGATTATACCAGTCAGGGGACACTGTTTGTTCATGATATAAATTTTTACTGTTAAAAAATATATCTTTTGTCATCGGTTTTATCTAACAATAATATCAATAAAAAAGGGACAAGAATCAACCTGAAGGTTTCACTTAAGCCTTGAATGTTTATTTACGCCACTAAAAAAAGCTTTAATTCATTTTGTTTCATAATAATTCGGTTAGTTTGTTCTAATAGATGTCAAATTTAATAAAATTTTTAGAATATAATATTTAATAGATGTTTTCATGTTTTAATACTTTCAAGCTATAAAACATCGGAGTTATTAACCATTGAAATATGATATTTTTCGGCTTGTATACAACTATACAATTACATAGACATATATATATCTTTCTTAAACCATTAATTTTCTATTTCCACTTTTTTTTAATTATGGGATTTTACCTTCAAACCGTGTGTTTGTAAATTTTTGTAATTCTCTATTTTTTACATTTTTCTTTTTTTAGGAATACATTTGCAAATATGTCCCCGAGGTGTCACCTGCTGCACCCCTGAGATGGAGAGCAAGCTTTGGACCCTTACTAGAGAATCATTCACTTCATCCCTCTCATCCACAACCAAACCTTTACAAGCTCTTTTCCAAACCAAATCTAGATTATTTTCAGGTAATATTTACTTTTTTATTCTTTTCCAAACCAAATCTAGGTTATTTTCAGGTAATATTTACTTTTTTATTCTTTTCCAAACCAAATCTAGATTATTTTCAGGTAGTATTTACTTTTTTATTCTTTTTCCACTAAATTTTTTTCAAAAATTTGGAAAACATAAATTTGTAAATATATCCAAAGTCTATTTATGTTTGTTCCATGAGAGGATAGTTTTTACTACCCTCCCCCCCCCCTCCATATCTTAGGATTCTTAAGAATTCAGCTTTTATAACCCACCATACGAACCTATGATGGGGCCAGAGGGGGGGCATAGGGGACAAATATAGGAGAGTTGGGTTGGCTTGTTATTGATAAAAAATGAGAATTTATTTTGAAAGACTTATTAATGATATCTTGTTAGTGTACAATGTACATATATGAATCCCTGTGTTATTCATGTACCTAGAGTAAAGCTAAAGAATATGTACGATAGTTCACACAGTTGTTCAGATTTTTATCTTTATTACTCATTACTCTGACCTTGCCTTACAAAACTTGACTTTTAAACCATCTGCGGAATCCACACAAATTCCTCAATCTTACCTCATGCCATGTTTTAACCTCAGACTTTTTTTAGATTTTTTCTCCGAGCTTCTGGCAAACTCAAAAAGAGATTTTCATATAATGTTCAAGAAAACCTACGGTATCCTATATGAGCGGAACTCTGACGTTTTCACGGATTTCTTCAAGAATCTGGAGGATTACTACGAGACAGGAGGAGTAGACTTAGAGGAATCCTTGAGAAAATTCTTCTCACAACTCTATCAAAGAATGTTTACAGTCCTCAACTCCCAGTACACCTTCGATCAAAGGTGAGTTTTTACAAAGGGAGTAAATGCGGTTTAGGCTTTCCAAACCCCTTCAATCAACCCTTTATAGTTTAAACATTATCTTCGTTGTTTTTCTACAACACGTCAATATTTCTAGTTTAATTTTAATATTTACTCGAGATAAGAATATTGCTGATAAACAGGCAAACTCAATAAAAACGTCTTTCATTATAAATCAGGATTAGGTTAAACAAACTAGAGTACATGGGACCCTTCACAGGAGGATTAAATATATTTATATCTTGGATAAAATATGAACAATATAATGAATGTATAGATGAGACACCTGAGCAATCCTGAATAGAACCTTCATTTCATCTCCTTCTATAATATTCTTTCAAGTTTGCATTTATGCAAAACAAATGATTTTGAGTCAAGTTTTGAAACTTAGAATTAGTTCTTCTCCGGTTGCACAACATTATAGGGTTAGAGAAGATCATTAATTATATTTATCTGTTTAGTTATCTTCAATGTGTGAGTAAGAATATGAAGAAACTTCAACCCTTTGGAGACGTTCCGAAGAAATTAAGTCTTCAGCTCCGGAGAAGTTTTGTTGCAACCCGAACCTTCTCCCAGGCTCTCATAGAAGGGAAGAAGATCCTAACCAAGGTTCTAAAGATAGCTCCTAAGGACAAGTGTGTAGAAGCTATGACAAGGATGATGAGCTGTCCGTCCTGCCAGGGACTACCAGCTATCCGTCCTTGCTCCGGGTACTGTCATAACGTCATGAATGGATGTCTTGCTCATCATACGGAGTTAGCTGATAGTTGGGATAGATTTATAGGTGAGCATAATCTTTAGTTTGGCTCCTAGTAACTTATAGTGTTTCTAAATATGGTTCAGATTTATCTGATTATACGATTTGTTTTGCATTCTTATCTACTCATTTGCTACTCCTAGTAGCCTCTAATCTACCTGATCTACCTGTCTACTTGTTCTTCTAGCAGTCTATAATCTATCTGTCTACTTGATCTTCTAGTAGTCTCTAATCTACCTGTTTACTTGTTCTTCTAGCAGCCTAAAATCTATCTCTCTACTTGTTCTTCTAGTAGTCTCTTATCTATCTGTCTACTTGTTCTTCTAGTAATCTCTAATCTATCTGTCTACTTGTTCTTCTAGTAGTCTCTAATCTACCTGTCTACTTGTTCTTCTAGTAGTCTATAATCTATATGTCTACTTGTTCTTCTAGTAGTCTCTAATCTAACTGTCTACTTGTTCTTCTAGTAGTCTCTAATCTACCTAATCTTTCTACTTGTTGCCGATTTAACTCAAGTTTTGTTAATCAGTCACTAATCTCCAAACAATCAATAGTCTGATATAAGACCTAGTCCCCCCCCCCCTCTCTCCTGCAACAGTTGTCCAATTTTGGCTGAAAAGCAGTCCCGCTGATATTTTTTTTCCTGTTAAGTAACAAGGTATAAAGTAACAATGTATCCCTGAATACAATATATTTGGTATCTGATCCTATACCTGGATAATCTAGTTAAATTATGGCCTATGCATACAGAGGGCAATATATCTGATAAGAATGTCCCTTTAGTCTTAATTTTATTGTTTTATATTTCAGATAGCCTGATTTCCGTCGGAGAGAGGCTTATTGGTCCTTTCAACATTGAGGCGGTGGTGGAACCAATTGACATTAAAATATCAGACGCGATCATGAATTTTCAAGAGAGCGGGTATGAGGTCACGCAAAAGGTATAATTTTCTCCAGTCATTTTGTCTCGGAATCAGACCAATTTAACCTATTTGACTGATTTTCGGAATATTTGCCTTGAAAGTCTGAAATTATCCCCGCAAAATTGAAAGGTTCGGGATCTTTACTCTTCAAATGCGAAATATCTGCTGAAAGCTTGAAGACTTGACACACAATCCATCCTCTTATAGTTTTACCCTAATGTGATTCTTTCAACGATTAGAATCTTTATTTGGAAATCGTTTTAGAATGTTAAGTATATTTGGATATAATTATCCTGCAGTTCAGATCCAATCTGAACACAATGAAGGTTTGAATCAGACAAATATTCCAGGTGTTTGAGGACTGTGGACAACCACGGTTAGGGAGAAGACAGGCTGGAGGGTTTGGATTCAACCATCCTGCTCAGGTGGATCGGAGTAAACCCAATACCGCTGCTGGAACCAATCTAGACAGTCTGGTCAACGATATATTGACAAGTATGAAGGGAACGAAGGGATTCTGGACCAAGCTCCCGTATATCCTGTGTGAGAATCCTGAGGTTGGATCTGGGAAGGATCGGGTTCAAACCAACTGTTGGAACGGGAGAGAGCGCGGGACCTACCAGGAGAAGGTGGTCAATGACGGTCTCTCCTCCCAGGCCGAGAACCCTGAGGTCTCGATCGACACAAGCCTAGCAGATGTCGAGATTAACGAACAAATATTCGCCTTAAAGCTTGTGATAAACAAACTAGAAAATGCTTACAATGGTCATGCTGTAGAGTGGCCTCACTACGAACCAAGTAAGTATTATAATTAAATAATTTTTCAAAAATGTACGTTAAAAACACAATTTAAATGATAAAATTAAATTTAATTAAATGCTAATTTCTTCTGTTTTGTTGCAGAATATCCGAATGACTCTGGATACTACGGGTCTGGAGATTGTTATGATGATGAGGATTGTGTGATAGAGGGATCCGGCTCCGGGGATAGAGATGATACGGATGACTGGGACGAGGACGGGAGCGGAGAAGGAGGAGAGGATGATCCGAAGGGAGAACCTACTCCACACTGGCCTCCCTGGGTTACAGATAAGACTCCTAAGTTGGAGAAGGAGAATGAGATTGGTGATCAAGGAATTGAGCTAGAGACTGATCAGGAGAAACCTAGAAGGATTAGTAATAGTGCTAGCTCACTATTATACTCAATAGTTATACAATATGCTCTTCCTGTTCTTATCTGTTATCTGGGGGGACTTATCTAAGTCTTCTTAGGGTGGGTTGGAGATCTGAACTCTTGTAGGAGAACTAAATCCAACCCTGCCTCCCAACCTTCCTACTGGAGCTGTGATTCTTCTTTGTCATATATAAAGTAATATTAGTGAAATGTGATCAATTATGTATTTTGTGTAGACTAGTTGAAACTAGTTTTCTACCCTTAAGTTTAGACTAGAACTCTATCTTAGTTCAGACTAGTAAATTCCCCTAGTACAGACTAGTGTAGAGACTAGTTTTTAACTTTTATAATTCTAGTCTTAAAAGCCTGAACGTCAGGTTAAATCCTATCATGCAGATTCCTATATTCCGAGCTATTCATTCAGATTTTACAAAAAAGGGGTAGGGAGATATATTTTGGAAAGGAGAGGTAAGGGGAAGGCGCTTTAAAAGGAATGGGGTTTAGACCCTTTTAACTCTTATTTGTCTTTTGATATTGAGAACAAATTTTAGTAGTAAACCTGTGCCAAAGGTCTGGGGCTGTACCGTGATATCTGGATTCAACAATACGTGTATCTGGGTTCCTGGATACAACACTGTATATCTCGGTTCCTGGATACAACACTGTATATCTAGGTTCCTGGATATAACACCGTATATCTCGGTTCCTGGATATCTAGGATCCTGGATACAAAACTGTATATCTCGGTTCCTGGATACAACACGGTATATCTGGGTTCCTGGATACAACACTGTTTATCTAGGATCCTGGATACAACACGGTGTATCTAGGTTCCTGGATGCAACACTGTATATCTAGGATCCTGGATACAACACTGTATATCTCGTTTCCTGGATACAACACTGTATATCTAGGTTCATGGATACAACACTGTATATCTAGGTTCCTGGATACAAAACTGTATATCTAGGTTCATGGATACTTTAATACAATACAATCCATGACAGCTTGTATTTCTCCGACTGCTCTCTAGCTGTCATATTATTATATTCAACAATACAGGAAATTTTCATAGTCAATATTAAAAATATTTTGAATCCCAAATTTAGATTTCACTCCCCCAACCACCCACCCCCCTTGCATCCGTCCCTGTCAAGTTGATCTTTGGCTGTGTTATTGTTGAATCCTCCCTATTCTAAGTTACCTCTCGCCGAAACCAAAATGCTTTCGAATTTCCTTCCTTCTCCATTTTGTTTATAAACAGGGTTTAATACTGTATATTGTATAGATAATACAATACTAAAGAGATGGTGCTAGGCTATAGTGCTGCCAAGTTACTTGTTATTGATTAGTTGTATTGATATGGTACATAAAACAATAAATGTGAAAAATTAAAGATAAATATACTATTCTATGTATTTCGTTTAAGATTTAATACTACGTCAGATGAAATAAGCAAAAAAAATGAAATTAGGAAGGATGAAGATAGAAAAGATTAAATAAGAAGGAGGGAGAAAGAAAAGATTTAAAATAGGAAGGAGGGAGAAAGAAAAGGATGGAAAAAGAAAGAAAGGAAGGAAGGAGAATGAACGAAGGGAGACAGAAAGGAAGTAAAACGAACGGAGAGATAAGATAGGAATGAGAACGCACGGAGACAGACATAAAGGACGGAGAGAGAAAGAAAGGACGGAATTGAATAAATAGAATCTTAGAAGGTTAAAGAGGTCAGCATTGTTCGATCTCAAGGAAAAGTGGGCGGGTAAAGATTTTGTAGGGGGGGGGGGTGAAGATGGAAGGGGGTAGGGGTATCCCCCCCCCTCCCTCAGGTAAAACAAAATTGTGGATTAACATTTATAGGAGGGGGTGGGGGGACTCAAAGCTAGAATCTACAGGGGATGGGGATTTAAAAAGATCCAGTGCGTGATAACTGCAATCTTTTGAGTTTGTTTAATGATTTCAAATCTGGAGCACTTAACAGCAATTTTCCATTCAACCTTTTTTTTAAAGGAATTTAGTCTTTGCTATAAGCTCAAATTTTGTAATTCTTATATCTTTTCAACCTGATGGTGTAAACCTTTTATATTTCAAACTAAGATTATTTGATCTAACAGAATTTATGGTCTGAAATATCTCAGGTCTGCGAAAGATATAGGGATTAGAAAACAGAGCTTTGTAATGTTCCATCAAATATTAATTTTACATGATATTATTCCCCCAACTCCTGTTAAAGGTGCGGGNTCTGAACCTCTAATACCTAATATATGTATTCCCATTACTTTATAATAAGCTTGCCAAGGTAAACCTCTAAACAGTATGAACCTCTTATACCTAATATATGTATTCCCATTACTTTAAATGGATTATTGATTTTCACACAAAATTATTGATACTTTAACAAATAGAAAAGTTTTAAGGTTAATCGTTAATACCACTTTTTTAAGAACTGTTTATAAATGAAGTTTCAAGGAACCCTCCATTTGTATATATAATATATAGTACAATTCACAATATCCATTTAAACCGTTGTCTGATCATCAGTATAATATCCTTACTTTTCTAACTGAACATTTAAATCGTTGTCTGATTATCGGTATAATATCCTTACTTTTCATCCTGAACATTTAAACCGTTGTCTGATCATCAGTATAATATCCTTACTTTTCATGTTGAACATTTAAACCGTTGTCTGATCATCAGTATAATATCCTTACTTTTCATGCATCAGTATAATATCCTTACTTTTCATGCTGAACATTTAAACCGTTGTCTGATTATCAGTATAATATCCTTACTTTTCTAGCTGAACTTTTAACTGAACAGTTTTCCCGGAAATCAATTTTCATGTAGAAAATAAGAAAATCTTCATCACTCTTTATCAGAAAAGGTTTAAAAAGGTACTGTTGTGAATCAGACATACCCTTTAAGGTAAATATATTGACTCTATTGTAAGGATTCGTGCTCTGGGACAGAACAGCTGTAAATTCCCTTAAATCTCATTTTAATTCAATTTTATGTAAATTTATTGGAATATTCAGCAAAATTAGTTGAGAGTTTAATATCTTGTATTATTATCAAATTATAAGGATTATGAACCGTCCTCAGAGACTTAATTACATCAGCACATTTAAAGAGACTGCTAACGTAATTTTGACTTAATATTTAATTCAAAGAATTTGATATTTCAAACTATGAATGAAATGATCTAAGTTTGAAATGCTAAATGTTTACCCCATCAGGTTGCAAAGATATATGGATTAACAAATTTGATTTGTGGCAAGAACTCAGTTTCTTTTCAACTAATGGAAACTTAAGTAACCCTATCAAAAGTGAATGAAACAGTTCACAACAGTAACCTTTAAATCACTGTCGTGGTTGGGACTAATCTAGGTCGTTTTCCTGCTCGCCTGTGTTGCAGACATGAAGTCACTTTGAAGTGACTTCATGTCTGCAAATGTGGAAAACTATAATATCTTTATAATTGTTTATTGGGGAAAAATTGGAATAGATGTACTGGTATATCATATCTGAACTACATCACCGTGTTAAATTCTTGTTTTTTATGTACTTTTTTGGATACGTATATACGTATTACACCTTGTATATTGAATTATCAATGCTATCAATGTTTTTTGTTATTGAGAGTTCATATTTTTTCTAAACGGTCTGAACATAATTTTCTCTTAGTTAGTTTTGCGTGTGTCTATAAACTTAAAATATAGTACTTGTAATATTGAAAGCATCAACAATACATGAAAGACCAATTAAAACTATTTTTATATTGAAAACTAATAATGAAGTAAAACTGTTTATTCACGTTAAATCGTTAAACTCTTTGATATTTGATCAAAGCAAAGAATTCAAGTGTTCAGTTCCAAAATATAAACCTTTGTCCAGTTGAATATGTATCAATCAAAATATATAAGAAATATATAATAATATATATAATAATTTATTATATATTGATTTATCTTATGTAAATTTATAAAGCCTATAGATCGTAATATATATTAGGTATGAGATATTATTAGAACCAGGAGTAGAAAAAAATATGGAGTCTACCGAACATTATTTAATCCCGAAGAAATAATACCTAAATATAGAGGTATTTATCCGTAATTAAACCTGGCGTAAAGTACCTACATCTGTAGTACCAATACATATCTGAGATCTTAGGAATAACCCCGTAAACCTGGAGTATCTAACCTTATCTGAACCTGGTGTAAAGTACCTACATCTGTAGTACCAATACATATCTGAGATCTTAGGAATAACCCCGTAAACCTGGAGTATCTAACCTTATCCGAACCTGGCGTAAATTATCTACATCTGTAGTACCAATACATAACTGAGATCTTAGGAATAAAGCCGTAAACCTGGAGTATCTAACCTTATCTGAACCTGGCGTAAAGTACCTACATCTTGAATACCAATACATATCTGAGATCGGAGGAATAACCCCGTAAACCTGGAGTATCTAACCTTATCTGAACCTGGCGTAAAGTACCTACATCTTGAATACCAATGCATATCTGAGACCGCAGGAATAAAGCCGTAAACCTGGAGTATCTAACCTTATCCGAACCTGGCGTAAATTATCTACATCTGGAGTACCAATACATATCTGAGACCGCAGGAATAAAGCCGTAAACCTGGAGTATCTAACCTTATCTGAACCTGGCGTAATTTATCTACATGTGGAGTACCAATACATATCTGAGATTGTAGGAATAACCCCGTAAACCGAGTATCTAAACCATAGATAAAGATAGATTGTGCATAAGACGACATTTTTCATCTTGAAAGATATAAATTTACAGAGATGTTTTAAAGATATTCCTATTATATAGATTACCTAGGTCGGTTGTGAACATTGGCTGTTCTTATGTCATTGAGTACTTGTGGTGTACATGAGTTCTGTAAAGAGAAATTTAAGTTAGTGTAGTCCTTCTCATGTCCTTCTTCAGTTCTCGTTAAGATGATAGTCAAATATTGTTGTTTAAATAGTTCCATTTCCGGAGTTATTTTACACTCTATTATGAAATCCATTAAAACACCAAATCACCCCGCTTATCATTGAAGTACACTTTGACCCCTAGAAGTATGAGTTCGCGGACTGTGCAATTCTTGGTGATTTTGCGTACATAAGCTATCTAAGTTTATTTATTTATCTATGATCTAACCTTATCTTAACCTGGCGTAAAGTATCTACATCTAGAGTATGAGATCGAAGGAATAAAATCGTAAGCCTGGAGTATCGAACCTTATCTGAACATCAGGAGTATTAAATCTTATCTGAGTCGAAGAAGACCAAAGGAATAAAACAGTACTTCTGGAGTACCAAACCTTAAGAAATGTAGGTTAGGAAAGTTGTCTATAGTTAGGAATGTAGGTTATGATAGCTAGTTTTTTAAGGTTAGGAATGTAGTTTAGGAAACTTAGTCTAATGTTATGAATGTAGGTTTAGAAAGTTGTCTATAGTTAGGAATGTATAGGTTAGGATAGTTGTTTAAGGTTAGGAATGTTGGTTAAGAAAGTTGTCTATTCTAATGTTATGAATGTAGGTTTAGAAAGTTGTCTATAGTTAGGAATGTATAGGTTAGGATAGTTGTTTAAGGTTAGGAATGTTGGTTAAGAAAGTTGTCTATAGTTAGGAATGTAGGTTAGGATAGTTGTCTAAGGTTAGGAATGTAGGTTAAGAAAGTTGTCTATGGTTAGGAATGTAGGTTAAGAAAGTTGTCTAATGTTAGGAATGTAGGTTAGGATAGTTGTTTAAGGTTAGGAATGTAGGTTAAGAAAGTTGTATAAGGTTAGGAAAGTTGTCTATGGTTAGGAATGTAGGTTAAGAAAGTTGTCTAATGTTAGAAATGTAGGTTAGGATAGCTGTTTAAGGTTAGTAATGTAGGTTAAGTAAGTTGTCTATAGTTATGAATGTAGGTTAGGATAGCTAGTTTTTTAAGGTTAGGAATGTAGGTTAGGAAAGTTCGTCTAAGGTTAGGAATGTAGGTTAAGAAAGTTGTCTATGGTTAGGAATGTAGGTTAAGAAAGCTGTCTAATGTTAGGATAGTTGTTTAAGGTTAGGAATGTAGGCTACGAAAGTTTGTCTAAGGTTAGGAATGTACCCCATGAAAGGTTAGGATGAGTAATGTGTGTATACTAGACTGGAATGTGTTGTAAATATATCGGTATCTATAACATAGGACCATTTTATTATTTAAACCTTTCACTGGGAAATGTTTGATTTATAGTTTTATTAGCATAATATATATTTAGATCTGATACCACGTGTTTAATCTATAATACTATAAAACAGACCAGTGCCTCCCCCCCCCCCTCCTTCCATCTTCAACCCGCCTTTAACCCTCTCTATCCCTATAATCTTGTCCCTGTAGACCGCCCCCCCCCCCCCTCCTATCGAACCTTC